AGGAAAGAAGGCACGCTTGGACAAGCGGCCTGGCTGAGGGACAGAATGATGCTTCAGTCTCTGCACTCTGCAAAATGTCCTGCCAGCTACAGTCACAAGGGCTGATGGGGAAGAGATTTGCTTTTGCTCCAGTTAAAATGACAACTGGTGGCTTGGCCCATGATGCAGGGAAGGTGGGTGCTGAGAATTATGTTCTCTTCAATCTGGTTTACTCTAAGTAAGGGAACGATTGCCTCAGACTGCTGTCTCCTTTTGACTCCGGACGCGTTAGCTTTGTCCTTCGCTGTAGAGCTGGGGAGGACTTGAAAGCCTTAGAGGTGGGTGAGAGATAAGAAACCAGAGAGAACAGGGTTTCTCACCCTCTCCTGAGCCAGTGCCCCATTCAGAGCACGGGGTGATTAGTGCTAGGGAGTGGATCAGCTCAGCTGTTGGTCCTCAGTCTTGGAAAGAGGCAGGTGAAGGGACAGAGTGAAGCCGGGCAGGAGCAGGGGGATGTGGTGGTAAGAAGCTGCTGGGCACACCTGCACCGTGCTCACCTCCTCCCCAGCCCTGCCCCGGCTCCTCACCACTGCTACTATGCTTTCCCTGGGGCTGGTACATGCTGGGCGAGTCTGCTGAGCTGCGACGGGCAGGCTAATCAGGGTTGATGGCAAGTGTCTGGAGGGAGCTACGGTCACTGTAGAGTCTGCAGAGTTTGTCAGGAAGGGCCTCTGGATGCCGCTGGGGCGAGGCAGAGGATTTGCTTTGCCCGAACCCAGGAGGGAGTTCAGTGACTTGGCTCCATCTTTTGGCTTTGCTCAGCCCTGTGCTTCCCTCTGACAGCTCGCTCCCCAGCACTCCTCTCGCCCTTCCACCGCTTCTCATGCCTGCGATGTACTTTCACCCTGACATCCACGCTGTGTTGGAGCAGTGAACACATCTCTGTTGTGCTCCTGCCTTTGCTCCTGCAGGATATCCTACCAGGAGTAGCCCTGCCAGGGAGGTCCCATCGAGCACCCTTGCCCAAGGGCATGGGTGAGCAGCAGGGAAGCCTTATCTGAGCATCTTTTGGTGAGGATCCTTCCTTGGATGCTCACAGCCGATGCCGTTTCGTTTCTTCCTTTCCCCTGGTCTCCTCGTGAGGGTGAGTGGGGAAGAGAAAAGGCCTTTCAGAGCCCACACCTGGCACTCATGAATATTTCATGTTTCTGGCTTTTCTTCCCCTTGAAGAGCAAAACCTTTTCATATTTGATGCCCTGGGAGCCTGTTTGGTTGCTGAATGTTGCTTCATCAGTGCTCTCCCTCCCTGCTTTTCCTCCAGACTGCCCAGCCCCTCTTCCTTTCTCTTCTCAGGGAACATCTCCTTTTTTCAAAGGCTGCTTCAGAAAAGGTCATTGTCCCTTTCATATTCCCTCCTTGCTGTGAGCCAGCGTGGCTTCTGCTCTGCCGATGGTAAAGGACAAACGGGGAAAGGCAGCAGTGGGGAGGGAGGCCAGGAGACACGCGCACGTACGCTGCGGAGCGATGCAGAGGCAGAGAGGAGATGTAGGCACAGCAAGAGAAAAGTAAAGGGGCAGAGGAGGTGGCAGAAGGTAGGGAGGAGGCAGCAGCAGGATTTTGCTGAAGAACTGGCTTTCCAGCACCTTCCAGAAGTTGTCATGCAAGATGCACTGGTGTTGCTGCGGGTGGGGGCTTGTCCGGTGAAGGCCCCTTGGAAAAGAGGGGGGTTCCAGTTCTCCAGGGCAGGGTGCTCCCAAAGCTGCACTGACAAATATGCCTTCTGCCCATTTCCATTGCCCTGCAGCTGCTGTAGAGACCTTGTGATCTGAGCCACCAGGTTCTGCAGTAAATCATCACCCTCCATCCTTAGGCTTTTCAGCCTTTCTCCCTCTTTCCCCCACACCTCGTGAATGCTTGAGGAACCAGGGACTGTTTGCAACCTGCTCCTGGTCAGGCTGCGCAGACCCCGAAACAAACTGCTCTGTGGGTCCTGCCTGAGTGGGGCTCATCCCCTCGTGCCCCCGAAAGCGTTCCGACACCTGGCAGCGAGGGTCCTTCCCTGGAGACCCGCAGCAGATGCTCTAGCGTGGCTGCTGGACCAGCTCGTCCTTTCCAGGGGACGGCAAAACCCCATGTGTGGACAGACCCACACAGGGCTGCTAGCTCAGGGGGATGGGGATGCTGTGAGGGCTTCTCCCCAAAGTGCCCACAGGGGCTGGCAGAGGTGAGGGAGGGGCACTGCCAAAATGCCATAGCAGAGGACAGGGCTCAGGGAGTCCGGCACGAGTATTGCAGGCAAACAATGGGGAGGACAAAGGTACTGAGCTTGGATTTACACTGTGCCTTTCATCCATGTGGAAGTAGTAGTTGAAGTACCTCCAGTAGCTGGGTGAATTCAGAAGTGGAGGTCCATCTGATGGAAAACTGATGCCTCTGGTCAAAAATGGGTTCCCAGAGCGATTGCTTTGCGGTTTAGGGCATGAAGCAAAAGAGGCTTTGCACGAAGTGATGGATTTGTTTTAGAGGTGGTTGGCCCGTAGGAGAATTGCAGTTGATGTTTGGATGGCTGAAGCTTCAGTGTTCTTGCTTTTGGAAGAGCCAATCTCGTATCTGCATTCAGCATCAATGGGCAGAGGATGACTCTGTTCAACTGGGAGATTTTTAAAAAATAAAAATTGGGTTTCATTTGGAGTTCAGATGGAACCCACCAATGCTGAAATTCTTTGAGATGTGGAGAAGATGCCAAGCGCTGGGGCCATCTGCCTGGTGGCCACCTGCCTGGTATGGGGCCACTTGCCAGTTCTTGGGTTATGGGCCCAGGTACCCCAGAGGGCCTAGCATGAGGGCAAGCGCTATGATCCTGGAGCTGTGGGTAGCACAATCCTGTACCGCTAGTAGCCCCTCTGAGAGTCAGGATGGAGAACGTATGGGCAGGCAGGATGTTTCCAAGGAAAAGGCAGGCAAGTTTTGCAAGTCACTTGTCTTCTCTTGGCACGCGGACAAAATCAATTTTTGCCAACAAGTGTGCTGTCTGTAAAATTCTGGTGGGGATGTCTGTTCTATCTGTTCTGCGTTTCAGTGTAAGAGCAGTCTCATTCTTCCCGTTACCCCTGCTCCGAGATGGAGCTAGCATCAATTGATCTGAAAAACATCACCCCTCTTGCAGCACTGCTGGCACAGCTTCCCGCGTCACTTGGCTCTCCCTGATGCACTGACCAGGACGGTTTATGGGAACTACCGAGCTCGTGCTGTGAAGCGACGTTAATGCTGCACTGCAGTGAGGGTGTGTGGCCTTAAAGCCGAAGCGTTGCGCAGAGTGTTGCTCCAGAGCCTGGCAGGTCACAGCGGCAGCAGCGTGGCCGTGCTGTTGGGCTTTGTGCGGTGACAGATCAGAAAGCGATCGGTGACTCATGGCATGTCTGCGATCCCCAGTGAGCAGCTGGAGCTGTGCCCCTGCACTGCTGAGTTACTGATGTACTGTCTAGAAACTGCCTTAACCGGTGACTAGTGATACAGCTGGGCAGTCAGGCAAGCAGGGCTTCGCTGCTGCTCCACAGCCTGGCCTCAGAGCTAATGCCATCGTTCCTTGTCCTTCATGATCCCATGTAACCATCACTGAGCATCTTCTCCTTCCTTACACACCACCTATGCACAAATACCACTCTCGTCTCTCCCACCCTCATCTGTCCCCAGAACATTCCCTCCTGAGCTAAACGAGTCCGATGTCCCACACCAGGAACCCTTCTCCCTCTCCTCACGCCTGCGTGGCCCCCGCAGGCATCGCTTCCCTCCCCTCTCCGCGGCGTGAGCAGCCCGGGGAATAGAGATAGAGCATAATGCACAGCATCATGTGGCTAATTACATGACGCTGGGCACACAAGGGGGATTAACTTGTGCCTCAAAGGGCTGTCAGAGAATCCTAATCTTATCTTTCCCTCCTCTTTCCCCTTCCACTGCCATCTGAAGTAATGAACTGGTTATAAATACCTAATTAGCTAATTATTTGCTGGCCTACATGGAACATCTTCAGTGAAGGAGCTCCCTGGGGGAGGGACCTCCGTGGAGGCAAGGAGAGAAGACCACATGAGGTGTGTGGGGGGTTAAAGGCGGTACGGTGGTGCTCAGAAGGATTTTTAGACTTTTGCCATCCCTGGAGAGCAGAGGAAAAGTCATTAGCTCCATGGAGAAACGAGCCTATCTTTATCCCTACTTGTGGCTGTGTGAGCTGAAGAGCTGAGGGAGAAATAAAACCACAGAAATAATTCATTAGGTAATTAAAAATAAAAAGTAAAAGGTTTTTGGAAACTTTTTGGCACTGGCCAGAGGTGCTGTGCCAACAGCATTTTGGGCTGTGCCTGCTGCTTGTGTGCTCCAGCCCTTTTGGGGAAGGAGGTCTAGCCAAGAGAGGAGTGTGGGCTCCGTGATTGTCCCCCGATGATACTGTCACTAAGAAAACCAATTTATGCCAGTTTATGGGTGTTGGAGAGGTCCATCCTACTAGGCAGGCTGGCCTTGGTGCGTCAGTGCAATGCTCACAGGTTGCAGCATGCCGTTGTTGAACTGGGATGACTTTCGGTCCGAGCTGTCTAAGGATGGAGCTGTTGAACTGCTGTGCACCTTTGGGACAGAGTTGTCACTCCATTGCCCATCTGCAGGGAAGGGGGAGGGAGGGATATCAGTCAGATAGCTGATGGTACCAGAAGTCTCATTCCCTTTTCTTTTCGCTGCTGCAGACAGAGGCCTAGGGTTAAGAGATCATGGCATCACAGCAGCTCTGCTGGCTGCCTGTCAGTAGAGGTTAGGACAGGAAAGGGCAACAATCATAAATCTAGCCTGGTTTGGGTAATAAATAATTTCTGACACTCTGCTTTTATCTTCATGTGGCTTTCCCCCTCCCCGTCCCCCCCATGTGTGTGTCTCCTAAATTCTCCTTTCCTTTCCTTCTCCTTCCCTTCCTTTTCTCCCTTTCTCTTTCTCTCCATCCCACACTTGCTCCTTCTGGTTCTCTTCTTCCCCTGCAGGCATGCGCATCCTTGTGAACTTGCTCCTGGACACCTTGCCCATGCTGGGGAACGTGCTTCTTCTCTGCTTCTTTGTCTTCTTCATCTTCGGCATCATCGGGGTGCAGCTGTGGGCTGGGCTGCTCCGCAACCGCTGTTTCATGGAGGAGAACTTCACAATGTGAGTGCCTGGGAGACGAGACATTTCTTTTTCCCCTTCCCTGCTCTCTTGTTCTCTGCTGCCAGGCTCTCTATGTATCGCTTACTCCAAACGGCTGTAGGGTGATAGCGTGCAGAGCGTTGGCCACGTCTTGCGGTGAAAAGGGAGGGAAGGCAAAGGCAGCTGGTTCTAGTCTGTCTTCACATCTTTGGCACTTCCAAGATGGAGCTGAGGTCACTGTTTGGACAGCAGTGCATTACCTCCGGAGGCTTTGGAGGTACACTGAGAAATTATTGGAAAACTTCAGGAGCAGAACTGCACGTGGGAGGTGCCATGGGGAGGGGATGGAGGGCTGTTGGGAGAGGTGTCCTACAGCTGGGTTTGTAGAATTGAGAGCATCTGAAAACAAAGAACGGCTGCTTGAATGGGACAAAAAATTCGTGGGGAAATGTGGGCACAGTTCTGGCAAAGAGAGCCTGGAGCCGCAGAGGGGTCGGTCACAGGTATCTGAGGTTTATCCTGGGGGTGTCAGGGAGGAGCTGGCAGAGCCTGGCTCTGCTCCTCCCTAGAGGCAGTGGGATGGGAAAGCTCCTGCCTGCTGCCAGTTCTCCGGTCACCCTCCCGGGGAGCAGAGCACCAGTTCTAGGGCACAGCTCCTCCTGTTGACTTTCTGGCTTTAGCAGAGCTCAGGCTTTAAAATGTTTTCTTAAAACCGTATACTAATCTTAGGCGTCCTGTCAGTTTAGACTGCTTAGAAAAACCTAAAGCTGTAGATCAGTTTAGACTGAATAAACAATTCTGAAGCTTTAGATCATCTCAAATGGGAAAAAAAAAAAAAGTGTGAAAATACAATCTGCAGAACAGCAGTGGGGTCGGAGAGTAGGAACTGTTTAAAGCAGCCATTTACTGTGTTTATATATTCCTTGGGGAAAACCAAATGTTTAGGATGATTGTCCTTTATGTAAATAGGGGTAGTACTACTTTAATGAGTGTAATTACATCCATGCAGAGTTGATGCAAGTGAGAAGTGGATTGGGGCCACAGCCTGCAAAGCGGCAGATACTAGAAAATCTTTGCCTGACCATTACTAGAGAAATGAATTCTGCAGGCACTCAGTTCACCAATGATGTGGATGTGTTACGACAGATCTTTGTGGTTTAGTCCAGCTTAGTTTGGAATCAGAGACTTTCTCTCTGTTCTTTTTCATCAACACCTGTCCTCTTCCAATGACACTTAGTGAAAAAGTCTGCATTCATGCGATGTGAAAGTTGTGTATTGTAGCACAGCAAGGAATGCACCAGATAAAGTTTAATGGAAAATTTTAAATCTCCACCTTTCACTTCTCTGATCATTAGCTCATCTCCAGCTAAGCAAGCACAGATGATTTTAATTATTCATGCATTTGCAAGGTACTTGCATTATTTGAGAAAAAGCACGTGAACTTGGCATGAAACATTGCACCCATAATGCTAACTGTCAAGGAGGAGTCAAAGTTAAGGTTAAGTCAATTTTAACTTTGCATTTCCTGATTTTAAGGCTTTGCTGTGCAACCTTAATTATGCATGAACTGGATTTTTTTTTTAGAAGTACAGAAGGTTCGCTGCCAAATGTTATAAAACATGTCCATCAACGGTTACATACATGAGCACATCACAGTAAAGCCTGATGAACTTCCTTAATATCACTGCATCTGATTTAGCTTTGATGCTAATGGGGAGAGTGAACAGAATGCAAATCTCTGTATTCTAGCTTTTCTTCATCTCCATGCAAGCAGATTGTGTCATTTGGCTTGGGGTGATTTTGGGGCAGGCAAAGCTCTGAAAACTGGGGACTCACCCTGGAACTTCCCTGTTTCCCAGGAGCCCTGTCTTCCCTTCCCTTCTCCTGAGGCAATAAATCTGGAAATCCCTTACCCAGTGCAGTCATTCTGTTAGGCTGGGAGCTCCCAGCTCCACCAGTGTTGCTAATGGGAAACTGTCTGTTACAGGAACTGTATGACTGTGGGGTTTTTTTTATCCTTGCAGACAAGGTGACATTGTCCTGCCCCCTTATTACCAGCCTGAGGAAGATGATGAGATGCCCTTTATCTGCTCGCTGTCAGGAGACAATGGAATTATGGGCTGTCATGAGATACCCCCACTGAAGGAGCGGGGGCATGAATGTTGTTTGGACAAGGACGATTATTATTACTACAACTCAGTCCGGCAAGAGTTCAACATCAGTGGCATGTGTGTCAACTGGAACCAGTACTACAACGTGTGCCGTACAGGCAATGCTAACCCGCACAAGGGTGCCATCAACTTTGACAACATCGGGTATGCCTGGATTGTGATATTTCAGGTAAGACTGAGTTAGCTTGAGCCTTGTTAGGAGGCTATTTTTTCCTTTTTTCCAACTCAGTCTTTCTGTGCTCCCATGATGGTTTCTGCACGGTATGATACAGCTGCAGAGAGAAAAGGGCCTTGTAACTACTATAGCAGGAGAGACAGAGTGCACACCACGAACGGTGTTCCTGAAGATGGGGAGGGACATAAAGCTGTTCTAGGCCCTTGCTGAAACCAGCTGTACCCTTCAGGCTAACTTGTACCAGTTTTCCCTTCAATCCAAATCACTATAGCAAAGGAGTCCATTTTTGTGGTTTTTTTTGTTTTTTTTTTTAAATTCCCAGCACGCGTTGCAGATGGGAGCTAAAATCCGTGCCTTTTTTCTTTTCCGCCGGCTGTACGTGGTGTCCAGTCCAAGGGGCACAGAAACCTGCTGCGGGTTTTCCCCTGCTGCGATCCAGGGAAATGAACTATTTTAATGAAATATTCCTGCTGTGGGCTAGCATGATCTCACAGGCCTTGACAGTATGCCAGTGTCACCAAGCAGCACCACGCTGATTTCCTGGAATGGAAATTTGGTCTCCTTGAAATGTATTGTTGTTTCTCGCCTTCCTTGGGTTGTACGAGCCCTGCCAGTATCTGCCCATATACACTGAGGAGTGAACTCTGGAAGCCCACTTCCCTCCTATTTCTCTTGGTTTCATTTGTCTCTGCAGGTGATCACACTGGAAGGGTGGGTGGAGATCATGTACTACGTGATGGATGCCCATTCCTTCTATAATTTTATCTACTTTATCTTGCTGATAATCGTAAGTATAAGACTTGATGACTGTCAGCATTGCAAGCTGAGACCCTACAAAAAACAGGTGTTAGGTCAACACAGATACCAGGGAAGCAAACTACTTTACCTGGATTTCTTCTAGGAATCTCAGGAACCCAGCTAGTTGATTTTCACCAAGAGTTGGTGGCAGGATCACATAGTAGTCAGCCAGGTTATTCTCTTTTGCTCAAAAAATATGCTCGGGATTGATTCCTAGAGATATACATACCCAGTGTAGGATAATGTTCTCATCCACAGATCTCTCAAAGTAAATTCCCCAAACCAGTGTGCCCAAAAGCACAGAAAACCGTTTCTGTATCTTCCCTCTTACTTGGTCTCTCTATACATTTTAAGCTCTTGAGTCATTCTTGAGCCATGTTTTACAGCTTTTGGCAGCACCTGGATCTCTTAGGCTCAAGGTCTCAGATTCAGATTTTGTCAGATTCAGGGTCTGTCATGCTGCATTACTTCCTCACCCTGAACAAAAAGGAGCCGCTGCTCCAAAAGTGTCAGCGGTCCAACATAAACTGGCTGTGTGATATCACTTAGGGCTGGTGGGGATGGAAGGAGAGAAGTGTGTCCGTGATGAGAACTTAATAAGCAGTTTATAAGCCCCGTGGATTTATACAAGTGAAGTTTGCTTTGCTGTAAGGAGGTTTGTTGTCAGTGCCTGGAAGAGAGGTGAGAAACGTGGTGCCATTGCCTCTTCCATTCCTCAAGCCTCCCATATGTAAATGCATTTTCTTGGAGGGAATATCCTGTTTCTAACAAGGAAGGATTTTGTTTTTATGAAGACTCTTGCACTTGTCCCACATGGGGACCAAAAGCAAGAGTAGAAGGGAAAGACATAGGATGGATTATGGGAAGTATAAAACCTGTACATGGTAGGTGCAATTTAGTTCTAGGTCACTTAGCCAGTAAGGACCTCGGTGTGTATTTCCAAGGCCTACATGCATTTGGATGGGCTGCTGAATGGACCTGGCTAAGGCTCTGCTCTTCAGCTACTACTTGTCCTATGTGGCCATGCCCTCCTAGAAATAGGATCTTCAGAAGCAGTGACCCAGTAACATTAACAGACTCACCTGGCACAGGATCTAGGTTAAATTCAAATTGACATGCAGTGACTTGAGAGCAAACAAACCTTAATCCAGTTTCTGGGAGAAATTCTGCAGCCTTTACATGTGGGGAGTGGCACACAAAAAAATATCTACTGGTCCATTCAGATCAGGGAACTTATGAAAAAGCTGAATCTTCATGGTATCCTTGATTTCTCCCTGCTTTCTGGCCTTCTACCATCACAAGGGAAAGGCAAGGAGACACAAACAGAAAGATGACCTACTCCCTGTGGGCTGAAGCATGAGCCAGGACAGCAGAGGTGAAATACACTTTAAGGGATGCTGCTTCTACTTTGAGGCTGGAGAGTCCCAAGGAAAGGCAGTGCAGAGGTATGATTGCACAGGATGGGGGGGGACCTCCCCCCAGCTCTGTTCGCAAAGGCAAACTGAACAACGCTGCTTTTTGTGAGTTTGGAAAAAAAATTATTTATTTCCCATAAAGTTTGTTCAGATCTCCCACCATACAATAGATATTTAGTACCTACTTGCATTTTCACTTTGAGCAGCATGGCCAGGATACCTAGATTTGTACAATGTGCAGTTTGGCACAGAATTTACTCTGTGTCTCAGACACAGTCTCTCCCAGAGCCAGGAAGGACTGTGCAGAGTCAGTGTTTAACCATTGCGGTGGGCATGCTCATCTCCTGAGGGCAAGTTCCAAAACCTGCCCCTCACCACCTGCTCCAATCTACCTGTCAGCATATTTTTGGTTTCTAAGCAGGAGCATCCTTCTAGTGCTGACTGACCTCATGTGGATTCCCAGTGATGCAAACTTTGTCTCTGAATTTGCAGGTGCTGAAAACCCTCAATTAAGCACTCCACCTGAGATTTTACTGTGGAGTGTCATTGACATTTCTAGACACTCCCTCGTCATTTGTAGAAGCCATGTAGGTTTATTTCCATCAAACACAGGAGTACATGAACCTCAACTTACTCTGGGGACTGCTCAGAACAAAGGAGCCATATGCTAGATGGGATATTTCCTTTGTCTTTGGTGGAGTTACACCAAGAAAGCATTTAGCCTCTCTGTTACCTTCTTTGCATGTGTAATGCATCTTTTGCATCATATAGCAACACCACAGTGTGAACTTGCTATCACTTGCTTTCATTTTCTCTCTGAGTCTTCTTATAGAAATGATGATGCCTTTTCAAGTCACATGAAGCACAGTCCTTCCAGCCTTTATTCTTCCTTCCTTCTCCATGGTTGAAAGGCCTGGGTTTCTAAGCAGGATTGCTCTGACAGTCATACTTCAAGCCCTAACTCTTTGCTTTTCTACATAGAACCTAGTCTTGGCTGAAACTTACTCTTCTTGGGCTGGATCTCTGCAGCCTCTTCTTTAGAGCTATGCTTTCATCCATGACTCCTTCCCTCACAGTGGTATCTTCAAACGCCTACGTAAGGGCATTACCTGCTACTGCTCACCTGCAGGAAGACTCCACCACCGGGATGTATTCCCAGCACGGTTAGGACTCCTGCGTAGACGGGCTCCGCCGAGGGGAAGAGTGCTGGTTGACCCCGGCACTCAGAGTGGCCTTGCAGAACAACCTGGTAAAAGCATTTTACGTATTCAGCAAATTGTAAATAGCTTCCCCCTCTGCCGGACATCAGGGAGGTGATGTGAAGGAAGGACTGCTTTTACCTCTCGGGTTAGTGTTTCATTTGGGTCTTCCTGCGTGAGGTCCAGCTGTCCCTTTGTCACTTCTCCAGCTACTTGGCCACTGGTGTGGCTCCTGGACTAGGGAAAGCTATTCTGAACTCTCAGGCTGGCATTCATATTGCAGTACTCAGTGGCCTCCTTGAAGTGCTCTGTGCTTACACATATGGGCTTCAGAAGAAAAGCTGGATATCCAGCAATAAAAATAATGGGCAAGTTAGTCAGCACCTCCAGCCCCAGTCAGATTTTATTAGATATTGCAGAGACAGGGATCAAACCTTGGGCTGAACAAATCCTTGATCTGCTTAATCAAAGTACAGCTCAGTCTCGGGACTGAACGGGACTCCTGTGTTGGGGCTCTGAATCGATGGTCTCCTTCCGCCTCTGTCAGATGCTTTGTCTGACTCCATGTCAGATGCTTTTGGTCTCCCCGCTCAGCTAGCTGAGATGGATCGCTCAGTTACGAGCCATCTGGGACCTTTCCTGTCTTCTGCTAGCTGGGAGGCAGTGTCAAGCTCGGCGGAGCCGTACAGTTTATGGACTTGCCTGTCGTCTTAAGGATTAAACAAGCTCATTTGTTTTGCGTTTGATGTTCCTAGCTAAGAGGTTTAAGGATTGGGGGTTAGTTGCTGTATCCAGCCCTCTCACTCCTTGCCTTCTTGGTCATCCGGTGGGAGATCACAACAAATGGTGCCTGTGAGGACAGGGCTTGGTGATGTGAAACCTGAACACCCCTCCGGATTCAGCCCCAGGCTGACAGTGTGACACTGCTGAAGACATCTTGTTGCCCTCAGCTCCTCTGCTTGTAGCCTAGGAAGAAGGTGTTGCGCGTCTTAATCGCTTGTTGTTCGTGGAATTGTTGGAAGTTGCAAAATACCAGGCAGTGTCACAATTAGCGTTCCAGAAATGGACACAGAGCTGGTGTCCAGCCCCCATCCCTGCCTCACTTAGGGCAAGCTGAGGGAGATAACTGAACGGGCAAACCCGTGTGAGTGTCGGGTGGTGCTGAGGGGGAAGAGGGCAGGAGAGTGCATCGGAGAAGAATTTGGATTCCCAGTCATACTCTTATCAGTGAAAACATGCAAGACATCATGAACTAGGGAAAATCTTGGGGGAAGGCGAAGGAATCTGAACGAGGCATCGTTTTAATTTTCAAGGCCACATACAGAAGATGAAGGGAAAATAAGCTGAAATACGGGCGGGAGGAGAGGGAAGAGAACGGTTCAGTGATGAAGGGAAACAGAATTAGAACAGCTTTGAAGGGTGCTGAGAGGAGGAGAAAAAAAAAAGCCCTTTATTTTGAGATGGTTTATTGTCCTTATGTTGAATCTGGTTGGGAAGGGCTTCGTGTTTCAAAGGCTTATTCAGATGCTAGCAGGGACACCTCGCCTTTGAAATACTGAGAGCCACTGTGTTGAGTCTCCAGACAGAGCTGCTGGGCACCTGTGTGCAAGAGAAAGGGACAACGAAGGGGGCAAGCTGGTGGCAGAGTAGCAAGGGCTGTGCACTGAGAGGAAGGCTGCTTGGATAGATAAAATAAGCTGGCGTACTTGCTGAAAAAAACCCCACCTTTTCTATGCACGAGGGTTGGGGTCAGGTTATCACCACTTCTGCTTGCACTCTCCCCTTTGCTGGAAGAGTTGTCTGGGGGAGGACTGGATCCAGCTCTGTGCCAGAGCTGTTTGCTTGGAAAGGAGAGACAGGGAGGTGAGACTGGGTCCTGTGTGGGTTTGTAGAGGAGGAACACGGTGCGAGGATGTCCCGTAGCAGGGATGCTCCCTGGTCCAGGGGAAGCAGAAATCTTGAGCTAGTGCTTCCTCCCCTCCCGGGGGCTGCCCCGCAGAGTCCGTTTCAGAGCAGCAGAGACGTGTCGTCCTTGTTCAGAGATCAGACTCTGCATTTTATCAATGCTGTATCGCCACTTACAGCTCCATGGGGAGTAGGCACCAATCAAGGCATCATAGCTTTTGAGAATGATTTTGACTGTCGTTACCAGCCCTTTTATGTAAGAAATTCTCAGCATTTTGAAGCCCAGGTTTTATCCTAAGTGTAATAGATAGATCTCCTAGTGGAGATTCATCTGTAATTTCATATTATGTAGCACTGAGAGTGAGATTTTTACCTCCAGATCTCTCAGCACCAAGAAATATTTGCTCCATTTTACAGATAGGAAAACTGAGGCAAAGGAAGCTTAAAGGGAACATACAAAGGGGTAAAATAAGCCTGGTAGACATTTTGGCTTCTGTGTGGAGAATAGGAAGAACTTGGGCATTTTGTTTTGTTTCTAAGAAATTGGGGGAGTGGATTGTGGTTGTTTTTGCATTCGAAATGAAAGGCCTACCTAGGCTACGGGACAAGTAAAGTAAGAGCTAATCTAAAATGTCTAGTATCAGAAGAATCAGGAAAATAGAAAATGAGCAAGGAAGCACTGTTTTGCCAGACTATTTAGTGTCCTTCTCAAAGTCATTAGTTTTTGTAAACTTCTCTTTGATTTCAAGAGCTCATTCATTTCAGCGAAGTGCCATCTCCTTGTATGGTGAATTAAGGTGTAAATGATAGAAATAAATAAAATGCTCCAAGAATACTGACATGTCCTCCAAGACTTGAAGACCATAAATGACAGTGCATGATTTCTCCAGTAGTAAAAGAGAAAGCAGAGGAGAAAGCAACTAAACTAGCAAACTAAGTCCTCTGTATCCCACCTTCTGTTTAACACGAAGGAGAGGGAAAGAAAAAGTCCAGTTTTCATAAAACCCTTTGCAGGTAACTTTTAAGTGACTTGCTAAAGGTCCCAAAGCCTGCCAAAGGAGCCAAAAGTTGGGCTTCTGTTTGCTGAATTTCAGTTCAGAGCTCCAAATTCTGCATGGAAGTGACATCAAGTCAGTTCTCAAAAACAAGCTCAGCCAGCCCTGGCTTTCTCTGAAATCCCGTCTCCATACGCAGACTGGTTCCCATTCCTCTGTCTGCCTCCAGTCACTTTCCACTCCTCTCTCCTCTTACGTTCCCCCTCCTGAGTGGTTCTCCTTGTGTTGACTTCGGCTGTCCGTTCTTCTCCTTTGCTGCTAGGTGGGCTCCTTCTTCATGATTAACCTGTGCCTGGTGGTCATCGCCACGCAGTTTTCGGAGACCAAGCAGCGGGAGCACCAGCTGATGCAGGAGCAGAGGGCCCGGTATCTCTCCTCCAGCACTGTCGCCAGCTACATGGAGCCGGGAGACTGCTACGAGGAGATCTTCCAATACGTCTGCCACATCGTGCGCAAAGCCAAACGCCGCACCCTTGGGCTGTACAACAGCATACAGAGCCGGCGCCAGGGCCACGTGGAGCCGAGCAATGCCAAGCTGGGCATGAACAGGAAAAGCCAGAGGCACTACAGTAAGGATTGTGTGGGTAAGGCTGGAAATACCAATCGTGGAAACGTGAGAGTAGCTGGGAGCATCTCCATGTGCCAGCTAAAGGACCTGTGCCTACAAAGCACAGAATCAGAATTAACATTGGCCATGGCAGTGCACCAGAGCAGCAAGGTGGGGATGACCAGCAAGAATGGGAATGAAACAGGGATGACTGGCAGGGCACGTGGGAAACCCAGGTTTGAAACCCAGAGACCATAATGGAATAACATTAAAGGCACTGGCTGAGGCTTGTAAAGGGCTCCAGGCCTGGTATAGCAGGGTGAGCATTGCAGTTTGGGAGAGAGAAGTATTGGGGGGATATGAGCAAGTGGGACTAAGGGTTGGACTCTGTGACACAGCAGGTCCCCCAGAGCTCTCCTCCCAAACTGAATTGCTGTGGGACCTCAAGAGAGAGGCAAAGGGAGTAGAATTGCAATAGGATGTCTCCTGAACCAAGGGAGCAATACGGAAGAAGTCAGTTTGATGTGCAAGGGCAAAGGAGACAATTTCTCTTGATGGGAGCACATGCTGTTGTGTAAAATTAGACACGAGATACCATTTAAATTGGATTCTGGGCCTGAAAAGTGACTGTAAAAATGGTTTTATAGAGTTAGTATTAACTGCCTGCCGATGCCTTTCCTAAGTTATGCTCCCATTAACAAGCAAAAAAGCAGATTTTCCTTCAGCTGGTCTTGCATACTCAGTCTTTCATTTTCTTGCTGGGAGAAAAGTTTCTGCAGGCTTCATGCACTGTGTTAATGAATTAATTGCTTCATTCCCCCACTGTCCATTTGATCTTCCAGGCTCAACTGGAGCATTGAGGAACAAAAACTTAGGTTTCTCACTGAAGTTGGGAGATCTGTGCTGATTCAGAGCATGTGGAGTATCAGGAGGAAGTGTTCTTGTGCTACCTTTTCTGGCTTCTTGAGATGCTTTGCTAATGTTGCTTCCTTAATTTAGAGAGTTCAGCTCAGCATGTGGGTTCTGGGACCCCACTTGTAGCAGTTCAGGCCGAAAGCAGTCCTCATCATCATTTTTCCCTCAGTTCCGACTTAACGCAAGCTACTGAGTCTCAAGCTGTGATTCCTGCATCAGACAAAACAGTTCTTCCTCTGTGGACACGAGCTCCCCATTGAGCCTAATCACTGGCAGCTGAACAGTACCATGCCTTTTGGTGACACAGCCAGTCAGTGTAAAGCCTGCAATGGCAATGGCTTTTATTGCTGCCCTTGAGATGATGTGCCAGTGTTTAATCGTCCTTACAGCTAAAAAGCCCAGTTACCCTGTCTGAATGCCCAAAAGCCAAACAGGTGCCCAGTTTCGACATCTTTTTCAAAGCCTTCTCCTTTAAGCGTGATCATTTCTCTCCCTAGGGCTTTGCCAGCAGCACAACTCTCTTGACTGCCCTCCTCAGGGCTTGGTCCAGCCTATTGCTGTGACAGCAACCTCTGATCCCACCAACTGCCCCCGATGCCATAGGGGGGAGCACGAAGTGTCCCGAAGGCTCTCTGTCCTGGATAGCGCTGACTCAGACCAGGAGGATGGAGGAGCCAGCGAAGAGGAGGGAGCGGGCAGCAGAGATGACCAGGGTGCCTCGGCACTGGAGAAGGAGGAGGAGGAGGGGGACGAAGGCGGACGGCTGAAGCTCTGCAGTGACATGTGGCGAGAAGTGAGGGTCAAGCTTCGAGGGATTGTGGACAGCAAGTACTTCAACCGTGGGATCATGATCGCAATCCTAGTGAACACTATCAGCATGGGCATCGAGCACCACGAGCAGGTAAGGCGCCTCAGGGCACGGGGTGGGCAGCGGGACTGGTGAGTCCTGCCTGGGGTTACGGCTTCACTAAGCAGTGGATGCAACCTGGGAGAGGCAGAGATTGAGCAATTTGGACCCCAGGCCACAGCACAGATGGTCCCAGCATGGCTTTGGAGAAAGCCTCAGGATCTTGTAGGGTCTTTTCTTCCTTATCCCTGCACTTAATCACTTTGTCTACGTGTACTTTCCTTTCACCTCCTTTTAATCCCTCTCTTTTTCCCCTCTCTGCTCACTTGTATCCCTCTGTCTTTCTTTTTTACCCTGTCCTCTCTTTCCATCTGCTTCTCTCTCCTTCACCCTCGTCTCTTCTATCTTCCTCATCTCTCTCTCACTTCTCTCTTCATTAGCTTACTGAATCCTTAGTCTATTTGGTTAATTTAATGTGCCCTCTGGGGATGTCACAGGCACTTCACCAGCATCTCAATTCAAATCCATCAGCTTGCTAGCTTTTCTAGCTTAATTAAGAGATGCCTGAGTACAGCCTATCTATACAAGAAGGCTAGGAAAGGCACCGCCTCCCATCTCTGGTCATTTTGGGGGCTCAGGTGGCTTGAGCCTTTCTTTTGCCCTGGCAGCAAGAAGTGATAGATAGGTCAGACACGGACAGCAGGTGAGGGCACAGGTTTGACTTTCACGCCAGTAGTTTACAGACAGCTCTGAGTCAGCAGTCCACTTTATCCTAATGACAGACTTGTGAGATGGAGAAGGATTGTAAGGCCTCATTTTATAGCTGGGAAACAGAGGCTGAGTCTACTTTGTGATGTGCAGAGCCAGCTTCAGAGGGTGTTAAGCACGCCCATGACCTTGCATCTGCATTGCTGGCTGGTAGCTCTGCTGCACTTTGCATTAAAGGAGTCCATGCTGTACATCCATGTCTCAGATCTATTCTGCCAGTCTGAATGTGACCATGATTCGGTCCATGTGTCTGCCCAGATCACAAAAATAAGAGATCGCTCCACCACTGAGATGCTGACTGCATTGAAGCTTTGGAGACCAGGTGAAGTCTAGTCCTGAACACAGTCTCAGGCAGCAAAGAGACAGGCAGTGAGTCTGGTTCAAGCAAGACACTCAGGTTTGTCCTGTGCTGTATCAGGATGGAGATATCTTGAGACCCAGTGTATCTTAAATTCCCTGTTTGAGGCAACACAGTGTTTGAGCCAGTATTTGAAGCCTCAGATGTCTGGATCCCACCCACATACCAAGCATTAGACCATTTTTCAAAGCCCAGCTAGTTTCTGATACAAGGATGGGAAACCTTAATTTGATCCCAGAATGCAAAACTGCACTGGATGCTTCAGTACCAGAAAAATACTGGCAGGAGCTCAGAGAAGAGGAGAATGAAGAAGAGGCTGGAGGGGTTGACTCATGAAAATAGATAAAAAAGAGCCATGTATTTATCACGTAGCAGAGAGATGACTAAGGGTTGAAGCCCAGGACAATACAAAAACTGCCCACTGATGTTTTAAAGATGTGAGCACCAAGCAGGGAGAGGCATTGTTCATTCTGGTTTATTGGAGACAGCGTGAATTAAGAGTTTAGCAGAAGAATATTTGAGCTGGAGGTAGAGAATTCACTCTCATGTTCTGGCTATTGTGTGTGCAGATTTAAGCCCTTCTAGGCCGCCTCTGCTGTGTTTGTACAGCCCACAGCAGAGTGGGATCTGCCTGCAGCCTTGGGGTTTCTAGTAGCAGGTTATTAATGACATGTCCTTAAAGTTATGCTATCACTTTTTATCCATAAGTAGCTAGGAAAAGCTTATGACCCTGCATGCTGTTTCTACTAGAAAGAGATGTCAGCCAAATTGATCACAACTGAAAAATGTGGTGCAGCCTGTTTATTTAAAATATGTATACTGAATCCTGTTTTCCTGGCACAAGATTAAAAAAAAATAAATATTCAGACCATACCATGAATTTCAGGTCCTTTTGAGTCAGCAGTTAACTCAAAAGCACACAGACATTTGCACTTCCTTTTGCTCTCTTTCAGTTTTCCACAAGCCATCCTATCAGTACATCTCAGACTGGTGCTTCATCCCCTCCTTTTCTCTCCTTCCTTTCTCTTTTTCCAGTTGTTTTCCCTCCCAGAAACACAAATTTTCACAGAACGATATCCAGCAAAACCCTTCTGCCCACAGAGATCTGTGATTTGCAGGGTGACGCCATCCTACGACTGAAGTAGCTTCTGTTGCTTTGGCTACTTCATCATACAAATGTCTCCTGGCCCAGAGCTAACGTGTATAGAGACCTCTTGAGATTTTATTTTCTGGTGCATGGGAGATCACAGCCCCAGCCACTCTCTGGGGACGTACCTGGCTGCACAAGAGGGTGTGTGAAGGTGCCACAGGTTTGAGCAGTCCTGGGAGCAGCTCATGGCACATCCATCAGTTCCTTGCTGCTCCGCTCGTTCACGGAGTTGTGCAGCGGTGAGCTGGCCTCCTGACCAAAGCACACACCAGCCAGCAGGTTAAGGGGTGAGAGAGGCTGCAGGAGCCAGGCACGAGTTTCAGGTTCAGAAACAGAGGAACCTGGGGGACAGAGCCCATGTGCGAGTCTCACCTTTGATTCTTGAGCCTTGACCAACAGAAAGAAAAACTTGAATTAAAATTACGTTTTGTTGCAATTCAGGGGTTTCAACGTTACAATGTTTTTCTGCCAGGACACTTAGCCTCAGCTACTCAAACTACTTCACTCGGATCCAAATTACCTTCGAATTTGGCTTTGTTTAGCTTACCCATCCAGACCCTTGTCCTGTCCTGTTCGTGTGGCCAAGGCAGTTTCCCATCTCCTTATACATTTCTTGTGAGGGAAATCAACTCATCTGGGGACAAACTGCACTGCTATGAGTCATTTTTAATCCTTAAGCTTATCACAAGTTATCACTTGTAAACAGATAAGTTTATTCAAATCCATCAGTGTGCATTATAACATGTAAAATCCTCAGCATTAGGCCTTTAGGTATTGCTGGGACGCTGCACAACCCAAAATCCATCATTTCAAGCTTTGTCCTGCTTGAAATAGTTTTTGCCGTTCTTCAGATCTGCTTCTACTTGGAAGTGCCTATTTTTAAAATCCAGTGTATAAAGTCGAGATATTAGATGCTTCTGGCTGTCTAGGAGGATCCTTTTAAGAGGATTACTTTTTTAATACTCAGAGAGGATCTGGTGCTTCTTGCTTTTCTCCCTTATTCAGCATGAGGATGAAGGGCTGGTCCCAGCTGAATGTCCCAGGCTGCCTTTCTCATATATTTCTTGCATGGCCTGTTGGACTCAAGCTTCTTTGCCATTAGTAGCCAATGAGACAATTGATGGGTAACTTGGTTTATCTTACCCAGTATCTACTTACAGTATTCCTTCGTAGATCAGATCAATACTTTATGAGGTCTGTCTTGTGTGGATCAGGAGACGATGCCTTGTCTCCTAACTAGACTGGCCCTGTGGATCAGTACCTTCATATCCTTTAGCCTGTGTGATTTCCCTTTATACCAGCATTTATTGCATCCACAAGTTCATATTTTACAGTTATTGCTTCTCTTCTACTATTTGCTGCTTGTCAGAAATATTCAGCAAATGCCCAAGCCAGCTCATCATACTGACATTTAGTAAATGATGGAACAGTCTCCCTCGGGTGGTAGATGAAACCACATTACTTCAGTCTTGTAAAACTAGGGTATAACAAAACATCACGAAATCCTGCGTTGGTTGTAGGGTGGTGATTAGAGTGAGTAAAAGCTAGTTGGTATGTTCCATGGCTGATTTCTATGACTCTTCTGATTATTGTCAAGTGACATTGAAATGGTGAGTAAAAATGGACAGGCTGGAGAGACCTCTCTATGGAATATTTCTCTCTCATGTTCTCAGAGGCAGTGATGTGCAGGTACGGTTTGGCAGGGCTGGTCTGCACAGATCACATCAATCGCTCTTCAGTTTCTAGACAGCTGCAGATCTAGAAGTTTAGGAGAAACTTATCCTGCAGTGGCTTTATGGTGGTCTGCATATTCTTAACCTTTCCTATAGTGCAGGAGTTTCTGGCTGCTGTCAGTTAACGGACTAATTACACTTTCAGTCTAATCTGATGTAAGAACTCCAATGTTAGTAAGAAACTGAAAAGGGGTTAAGAGTTGAGCCGCTGCCCTCTATTGCCCCAGTCCTAGTTTCTGATCACTGGGCAGGTGCTCTGAAGTAGATCTTAATCATACATTTCACTCTCAATATTTGATCTACATTGTTAGAGATGAAGGACTTCTTGCCATGAAGCTGTGAATTAGGTATTTTCATGGATTTGGAAAGAGATCCATATGCGGAGTAGGTGAACCAGTCTGGTTAAAACACTGGCTCTGGTATGCTTTGCCCCCTGGGATCTCTCTCCCTTCAAGCCACCCTCCTCACCCCAATACTCAGCTCCCACAGTTTTGTTCAAGTTTCTCTCCTAGTGTGGTGGGTAAACCAGTCTATCCTGGCTTGGCAACACGAACAGACTTCTTGTGGGGAGATTTCTGGTGTTAGCTGGTTTTGCTTGGACTAAAGTAGCCTTGAGTTGAAGCCTTTCCTAGCGGATACTCCAATTTACAGTTTCTAGGTAAACCTGGGTGGCTTGGGAGGAGGTAGCCTTGCTAATGGTTTTGATGATAAATGCCTGAGTGCTGTCTGTGGGAGCCTGGGGACCTCTCACAACTGTGAGGTGACACATCCATTGTGTTGGGGATCCCTTGTGTCGGTAAGAAGAAAGGGAAAGAACCACTTTTTCCCTGTTTGCTTGCCCCTTTCATCAAGTTGGTACTTCCCTGGCCAGAGAGAGTCCCCTGCAGCAGCCGTGTCCAGCCCCCAGCCTTGTCCGCTGTCACTCCTGGCCCCAGTGCCCCAGGTACAAGGACATCCCCGCAGAGGGGACAGCTCCTGGTGCCCCCCGCCCTGCAGCCCCGGCTCCCAGCTGATGGCTCTTCGCACTCTGCCGAATTATCTGTATCACCAGAAACGGCTGCAATGCAGGATCTGCCTTCAGCCAGTGAGTGTGCCTCTCCAGCTGGCTCTTCCCTCTTTTTCTCTTCTTTTTTTTCACTGAGTTCATTCCTTTTGTGTTGCTCTTCCTTCCCCAGCCTTTACTTCTTTCCTACTCCATTTAAAAAAAATCTATCCTTTATTTCTTGTGGGTGCCAGTGAGTTTATGTTACTATTTTTTTCCCCAGCTTTGTTTTGTGTTTCCTCTTTTGCTGCCTTTCTCTTTGCCCATCTCTCCTTCCTTTCCCTGCCCAGTCTTTCCTTCCCCTCTCTCTAGGAAGAATGCTTTGCTGGGGCGGATTGATGGCCCATTAGAAAAAGATTAACAGGTGGAGGGTCGACTAGAGAGACAGATGTCAGGGAGAGAAGGAGAGATGGGAGAACAGGTGACCTTTTCCACAAGCGAGATGCAAGCACGGCTTTTCAAACATCAATTGCTCCCTACGACAGCACAAGAGAGAATGTGTGGACAGCAGAGAGGAGGATATCCACCATCATAGCCTGTTGCTTTTTTACACTGCTCGTTCTCACTGACATAATAATTTGATTCAGGCTGAAACTGGCACCTCCGTTTAGCATATGGACCTCATGTTCACAGCAAGTGTCATTACTCCCTGGCTCTCCATGAAGTGATCTTAATCTCTCCTCCACTCCTGTGTGCACTTGCTCATTCTTTCTCTCTCTTTGCTTTCATCTCCCCTCCTTTCCCCCTAATTTTCAGGATGGTTTTGTTATTCAAATGTAATTACAGTGGAAATTGAGCCATCTCCTCTTTTTTGACTTTAAACAAATGGAGTATTTCAATAAAAAGTTGCAACAGGGAGTGCAATAAATTAGCAATGGGCATGGGAAGCCACAGACGTGAGTAGCAGTTTCCAGTCCAGTTGTTTACCTGGGAGGATCTGGGCCCCTGGGGGTCCCAGAGCAGGGGTTAAAGCAGACCCCAGCTTCAGGGGGAGAGTCAGACCCAGAACTGCATTCCTCCCTCAAGTCCTCTTCCACCAGCTAAGTGACAGGCACAGCCAATGCAAAGGCTACCCTTTAGAAAAACAGTAATTTTGCAGCCCTCAGGGAGACACCATGACTCCCCTTCCTAGTGGGCACTGAGTTCATGGTAAAAATATTGGCTCTGACCTGCAGGGACTCACTTTTTTTGTTTCCGTGGTGCCAGAGCGTCTGTCCTCTCTTGCCCTCAACAATAGGCTTTTGCAATTTTCTTGTTCCCTTCCATTTTATGTGATGCTTAAAAAGGTGGCCTGGTGGCCAGGCATAGCTCAGACCAATGTGAAGGAAGAGGATAATTTTCAGCCGCCTTTTTGGCACGGGTATCCAGACAACGAGAGCAGTACTGGCTGCTGCCACAGAGCCTGGATCAGTCTCAGCTCGAAGGCTTGGAGCTGGGGCTCAGTGGCACGGTAGGTTAAACGTCAAATACGTAACCTTGTCTGAGGTGCGACATACCTGCCCCAAGGTAAACATGGAAATTTGGGCCAGAGGAGCCCTGAAGAAGTGCCTCGGAGCTGCTGTGCCTTGTCCCTCCTCTTGGGAAGGCGGCACACCTTCAGCTGGAGCAGGTCCCCACCAGCTGCTGCTTGGGAAGGTGATGGCCAGCAGCATGCTACAGCCAGGTGAATCGCTCTAGCAGTCTCATGCGGTCTGAAGGGCATGGGTTGTCTAGCCTGGCCCCAAGATGCAACCCATTATACTGGGAGGAAGTTTTTCTCTCACTTTGGGAACATTTTGTACCCTGCCATTGCCGTGGTAGTCTCCCTGGGCTATGTGTGTGTCCGAGTATGTGCAATATAGTCACGCGTGTGCTGCCCCTCATGTGTCCGACCTTGCTGGAGACCTCAGCCCTTGCTGTTTGGCCTGGTGCAGTCCTAGCCCCTGGGAGAGAGGTGCTTTGAGCAGATGAGTCCATCCCAAATTCAGTGTAGGGAATGCCTCCACAGGGGATGGCAAGATCCTGGCATCCTTCATCAGTGACATCGGCACAGCCTCCATCTCCCTCTGAAGCAAAGTTTCATTATTCCTGAGGAAATGGTCTAGACCCTTTCCTGACCTTGTCAGAGAAGTTTCCAAGGCTGCACACACTGAAGAAAAAGTCATTAATTCAGAAAACAAAAAGAGTAATTTAATTTGCTCAGACTTGTTCCACTGATGGAGTCATTAAAACACTTTCTCTCATATGCACAAACACATTGGTCTCTGGTCTCTGCTGGAGAAGGCTGTATCACAGGGGCTGAAAGATGTGTCAGAGATTCAACAGAAAAAAATGCCTGAGGCAGGGTCAGATTGCCCTTTTATTCCTTTATTTTATTTTTTTTATTTCGACACAGTCATCTTGTGTCATCCTTGGAGGTTTTCACCTTGTGCATCTGCCTTTCTCCTCTTGCTGTCCATTTTTCTCTTTTCCTCACCCTGTCCTGCTCTTCCTCTCCCTTACAGGTAGGCGTTAGCAGAGTGCCCCTTCTTGCTGTTGTCTTTTTCGTCTAGTCTGATATTTGCTTGGGTAATTATTGAGACCACTCTGACGATAGAGGCATGAGAAAAGACTGCTGGAGCAAGTCTGGAAAACTAATGCATACCAAGGATTTGGTGGGGAGTTGGGGAGATAAAAATGGGGAAGGGAAAAAATAGAGGGGAAAAGGGCAGAGAAGTGCAGCAAGGTTTAGAGGAAGATAGGGAACTGTTTTCCTATCATTAAAATGTTTTCAGAATTTCAGCAAAAAAATGTGCCAGCTACCTGTGGAAACCTCAGAGGAAGATCCTTGAAGAAAGAGGTTGACTGCAGATCAGCTACTTTTGCCCTGCTTCAAAAAATACTCAAGTTCTTTGCACAAAGTAAAGCAGCCTTTAGCTGGGGAACCAGGGTACAGAGTGGGATGTGGGAGACGCTTCGTCAGCCTTGGCCGTGTGAGTGGCTGTGGGGCTCCTGACCACCTCTAGTAAAAGAATTTTTTAGGGACAGAACCTATGATGAAGGTAGTAAATGTGCAAAGGAATCTGGAGTGCAAGAGGCTCTATCCAGCTCCACTCTAATCTCACCCATGGAGCTTTGCAGCTCCTTACAAAGCCTGTCCCCTGGGAATAGTGGCACTTTATTTCCCATAATTGCAGGGCTCTTTCAGTTCTGACTCTCTGAATTTGCCTTCTCTCCAGCCAGAGGAATTGACCAACATCTTGGAGATCAGCAACGTTGTCTTTACGAGCATGTTTGCCCTGGAGATGATCCTGAAACTTGCTGCTTTTGGTCTCTTTGATTACCTCCGCAACCCCTACAACATCTTTGACAGTATCATCGTCATCATCAGGTGACAAGGGCCTTGGGGATCAACTGAAATACATACAGAAGAGTACTACAGAGCTTGCACATTTTCGTGTGCCTTTTCAAAAAGGATTTAGCAGCTATACTAGGATGAGCTGAGCTGATGCACAAGGCCGAGGATTGGGAGACCACATTGTCTTTTCCCAACATTTGGTGACCCTAGGCAAGCCGCATAGCATTTCTGCCCCTTAGTTCTCTCCTCTGTAGAATGAAGGCAGTTGCAATTGCCTTGTAAGTCCACAACAAATATTAGCTGTGAAATGTTTTAAAAATGCAAAAATTAAGGATGCTACAAAGGTTTAATGTGTGATAGAAGAACTTGTCTTGCTGGAATTTAATGCTGCAATCCTTTCCTCATTCCTGCAACATACAGTGCCATGATCATGTTCTTAAGGGAGAAATGCAGCTTTCTACACATAAGTATAAGCCTATAGTATATACTTCTAATTATATCCTGCTCAAACAGATTTTCTCTCAGACCCCTTTATACTTGCTGCCAATGCAGAGGTGAAAACGTGGATTAGCATTGTTATTCCTCTCTCTCTTCTGTTCGTTCCTTTGTCTTTCATTTTGTCCCTCATACTCCCTGTGCCTCTCTGGGCCACAGCATCTGGGAGATCATCGGCCAGTCGGACGGGGGACTCTCTGTGCTGAGGACTTTCCGTCTCCTGCGGGTGCTGAAGCTGGTACGTTTCATGCCCGCGCTGCGCCGCCAGCTTGTGGTGCTGATGAAGACTATGGACAACGTAGCCACCTTCTGCATGCTCCTCATGCTCTTCATCTTTATATTCAGGTGAGGAGGCAGTTAGTTGCCTCACTGTGTTTTGGAGAGGCACTGCATGGCTCATGTGGAGAGCAACTTCGGAACATGACTGCATGACTTGTCTTGCCCATTGCTCTAGGTTCAGGCAGCACTGACAAGCGCTTATTTGTTCATAAGGACCGAGGTTACTGCTGCCCTAAATTGGGTTCAGCAGCTGAAGATTTGGCCTGGACGGGGTGGAGAAATACTGCCACCAAATGCGCATGTTGTGCATAATGTCCCATCACAGGATAGGTGAAGTTTCTTGGTAATCAACACTGGCTGCAGGAACAGTTTGGTCTGGAGGCTGACTCTGGCAGAAGGGTGGCAGGAAGCAATCAGGAAAATCTGTCAGCGCATCCCGGGGATGCGGTGGTAGGGAGGCGAATCAAAACGAGAGCAAACAAGAATGATGGGAAGAGCAGATCTGAAGGACAGGTTGGAGGGAATACATGAGCTCTGAGCCAGTACAGGTGGAAAGCCAGTTTTTTTGGTGAGCTATAGGGGTGCAATGCACAGCTCCTTCTTCACGGATAGGTCCTAGTGGTCTGGCTGTGTTGTTCTACCCCTCACTCCTGTGGTGTTACATTAGCTTGTTGGGAGGAAAAGAGAATGACTCTGATGAGCTCATTGTGGTGGCAGAGGTATTTATATTTGACACCATCTCCACTTCTTGTCCCAACAGCATCCTAGGAATGCACATCTTTGGTTGCAAGTTCAGCCTCAGGACAGACACAGGAGATACAGTTCCTGACCGGAAGAATTTTGACTCCCTGCTGTGGGCCATCGTCACCGTCTTCCAGGTGAGCCCACTTTGGTCTCTTTGGGTGGACCACAGCAAATTGAAGAGGATGTAGAGGAGCTTCTTCTCATTGAGGAGCATTGCACTACGCTCCTGACAGCACAAAAGGCTCCAGCATGTCCTGTTTAGAGGAGGAATAACTGGGCGTTGTAACCAAATGAATGGTGTACCTCAGACAAGAGGGCTCCTTCCTTCCCAGGAGACAGTTTGCAAAGGTCACTCCTGTCGTGGTAACTCCCCTGCTTAACACTGTCACCTCAGCCCATGACTGCCCTCACAGTCGCTCTTCTTTATTCTTGCTCAGCTAACGTTATCAGGGCAGTACCACCACTGGGCAGTGGCAGTGGGTGTGTGGTTATGGTGAAGTGAAGAGGCCTGATGTGGTCCTGATGTGTATCCTTTCACTGTCCTTTTCTGAGAATCCCCTTTGTGTCCTTCCTTCATGTTTATGTGGCCTCTGCGCCTGGTTGCAGATCCTAACCCAGGAGGACTGGAATGTTGTGCTCTACAATGGCATGGCCTCCACCTCGCCATGGGCATCCCTCTACTTTGTGGCTCTCATGACATTTGGCAATTACGTGCTCTTCAATCTGCTGGTGGCCATTCTCGTGGAGGGGTTCCAGGCTGAGGTGAGTTGCCAGTGGGGCCTCATCAGGAGGAGGAATAGAGGTGCTAAAAAGGGAACCTTTGAGACACTGTGAGGGTACTGGGGTGGAGGACTCCCAAAGTATCACACCTCTGTCATTTCCCTTGTTAAGTTCAGGGCGGGCTTCCTTTAAAAAAAATGACAGCATTAATGCTTGCAAGGAAAGAGACAAGCCCTCTGGAAGGGAGTTCACAATTTGCATCCTGTGCAACAGACCCTGCCCTACTAGGGCGAGTCCTTTGCCCCTCCAAAAGCAAGAACGCAGTATGTCAACCATTGCAGGTCACACAAGGCTCTTTCCAGTGATCACACTGATGCCTTGCTGCCAAGGAGGATTTTACAGTTGTTCCAGCAATGAAAGACAAGAACAAATGGTCTTTTCTGTTTATGAGTTTGCAACTTCTAAATTTTTGTGTTCCAGGGTGATGCCAACCGGTCATACTCAGATGAAGATCAGAGTTCATCAAACATGGAGGAGTTAGATCAGTTCCAAGAGGTCCAGGAAGGCTCAGGTACAATAGCTCAACCAACCTCACTTGCTTATCTCCCATTGCTGTTTAGTGAGAAATCTGAAAGCAGATTCTGCAGAAAATTCACTCCCATCTCCAAGAACTTTTCGGTTTGCATTCTGAACTTTATGCTAGTTTGTGGTGTCATCTGTGGAAAAACAGAGCCATGCTGGCATCCTGAGAAATGCGATAGCCAAGGGGAGCAGTTCTTGAATGACCTGCAGAACATCAACTAGGAATGAGAAGTGAGACTGTCTCTGCTTAGCTTCAGGGGCACCATTTCAGGAACACTGTGTCCAAATCTGGGACCCTGTCCTGGCTTCAGCTGGGATAGAGTTAATTTTCTTCTTAGTAGCTGGTATAGTGAGGTTTTGATTTAGTGTGGAATAATGTTGATAACACACTGATGTTTTAGTTGTTGCTAAGTAGCACTTAACCTAAGTTAAGGATTTTTCAGTTTCCTGTGCTCTGCCAGCAAGCAGGTGCACAAACAAGAAGCTGGGAGGGAGTGTGGCCAGGACAGCTGACCCAAACTAGCCAAAGGGATATCCCATACCATAGAACGTCATGCTCAGTATATAAACTGGGGGCAAGTTGGCCACGAGGGGTGTGGATCACTGCTCAGGCATTGGTCAACAGGTGGTGAGCAATTGCATTGTACATCGCTTGTCTTTTCTTGAGTTTTATTTCTTTTTTTCTCTCTCTCTTTTTAAATTCTATTCCTTTTCACTATTATTATTATATTATTTATTATTAGTAGTATTAGTATTACATTTTATTTTACTTTAGTTATTAAATCATTCTTATCTCAAGCCACAAGTTTTACTTTTTTTTTCAATTCTCCTCCCCATCCCACTGGGAGCAGGGAGGAGTGAGCGTGTGGCTGCGTGGTGCTTAGTTGCTGGCTGGGGTTAAACAACAACAGACCCACATTTGGATAGGGGATACCAACACGTTAAAAAGGACTCGGACAAATCTGGAAGTCTTGCCTCATAGCGAGAGGCTAATGAAGCTTAGAGAAACCAAAGAAGTGACTTGAACACACACTCTGTAAGTGCCGACCATAAGGAGAGATTTCTGATGGTAGATGGCTCTTTAATTGAGCAGAAAAAAGCATAATGAGATTGTAAAGGTTGGAAGCCGAAGCTAGACAAATTCAAACCGAAAAACCCCACATATTTTTAAGGAAAGATAATTAACTGTTGGAACCGTCTGCCTGCAAACTTCTGGGTAAGGTCTCCACCCCTCGAAGTCTTCCCTTGAAGACCGCAAGTCTTTCTGCGAGGGGTATTATACTTCAGGAGCAGCAAGAGCAGCTTGCTCCGCAGTGTATGGTGAGCCAGGAGCTGAGAGGGAGGGACAGCCAGGCAGGAGGGCAGGGACCACGCCGACAAAAGCACAGTACCGGCACAAGGGGAGCAGAGCAGGTCTGCTGACACTAGCCAGGGTCAGCCAATTGTTCGGTGATTGCCAGGCAAGTCCACAGTGGTGAGGCAGGTCTGAGGTCAAGCCAAGAAGTCCAGTCAGCAAGACAAGATCAGGATCAGCAAGGTGCAAGGTCAGGCACAAGCATTCTCACAGCATAACCCAGACAAGGAGCACAGGCACAGGGCTGAGCTTAAATGCAGCTCCCACAGCAAGGAGCAGTGGCTCCAGCGTTGGCTTGTTACAGCTCTTTCCTGCAACTTAGCTGTTTTCACAGCAGCCTGATCCTGGGTTACATGGCTGCGCCATATCAGAGCTTACCTTGAATGTAGAAAGCCAAACCCCCAGGAGGGCAAACGGGGAAGAGGTTGCGGAGCTGTTGGTGCAATCACGGCTGTGACGCTGTGTGCAGGTGAAGATACATGACCTTCGTGATGCAATAGGTCAAACAAAAATGAAAGTTCCAGTCCTTTCGGGCATTAAAATCCAGTACCCCGTCCTCTCTATCCATCTGAACAAATGCTGATGGTCATCCACAGCACCTGACATACCCCTCAAAGGTGTCCTGTATCTTCAAGGTCAATGATCAGTCGTTTGAAGAGGCCCAGTGTAGTAGGATAGACTGGGATGAAGAGTGTGATTGCGGGAATTTAAAGGTAACCTCAATACGTGGATGGCTGTGGGTCTCCCCACATCTTAGTCTCTTCCACAGTGTCTACGCCTAACTGCTTTAAATAGCCAGTCCGACAGTCGGTGGTATTTGTTCAGACCTGAAGATGCAGGTGTCTGTTCTTGGCATGCAGAAGCACACTCTCCTCCCCAGCTGCCAGGGTTCGGCTTCTTGCTCTGCCTGTCAGCCTGAGTCTGCCTGACCAGCACTCTGCTCGTTGTCTGGCCCCCAGGAGAGCTGCCGTCAGCTTTGGGGACTGAGGAGAATACTTCAAAGTCTTCCCAGCTTGTGCTGCTTTTGCCACAACACCCTAAATCGGAAGGAATTGATGCTGATTGGTGCTAAACAGCTAATATTCTGTTAGCTGCTGCTAACGTGCTAAACAGCTTAGACATTGGAACAGTCACTGGATAGTGAGGAACCCACCTTCTTCTTTCGCTTTCTTCTTCTTTCTGCATCTTTCCACCCAGATCCCAAGCTCTGTGCAATTCCTGTGACCCCTAATGGACACTTGGACCCATCCCTGCCCTCTTCCAACCCACCAGTGGCTGCTGGGGGGGCCACCAACTCTTCACGCAACTCGCTGCAGCCTGACCAGATCCGCGTTGCTGTTGACTCCCGGAAGAGCAGTGTGATGTCCCTGGGGAGAATGACCTATGACCAGCGGTCCTTGGTGAGTGAGTGAGTACAGAAGCGTGTCATACCCTTCTTTTGAAGTCCAAGCACTCTGTTGTCTTTCTGCTGTCGTCCGGGGATTGCTGTGGAGGATTGCACTGCTGCTGTAGGCTTCTAACACAAGCACGTTGCCTGTCTTTAGGAAGCCAGCTCAATTCACATTATTTATCTAAATTTCCAGATTATTGAAGTCTATTTCTGGGTTATTGATCTATATTCCATTGAGTGTGGGATTCAGCTCTTTTATATTCTTCTGGTGGGAGAGGGGGAACACTAAGGAGACAGAGTCTCTCTCTTAGTGTGAAATATGTTTTGTCTCCTTGCCCTTTCCTTGTTTTTGTAGGGCACAGGACACAAAATGATGCCCTGAGTTGAGAGCATAGGAATATCTGGGTGATGCCAGAACTGCCAAGTCCCATAACAGATGGGTTTTCTGGAAGCTTTTGTAACAATGAAGAGAGAAATCTTGACTTGGAGCTCCCCATAGCAGGTCCTGCTGCCCCTTAGCACTTCCCCAAGCACTGCTGGCTGTCCAGCTGATGCACCTCAGACCTGTCCACCTTATAACATCAGCTTCTGGGCTTTCTACTCACTGACACACACAGCTTTGGGGGGGTGCATCGGTGCTCAAAGGGTTTGTGCCCCTGTTATTTCTAAACAGGGAGAGCTGTCAGGCATGTACTACATGATAAGTTGCTGATGCAGTTGGACTAGACTGTAACCAACAAGGCTGTTTCTCTCATTTCTTCTTTTTACTAAGACTGTACTCAAAGATGGTGTGTCAGATTATCCATCACCCTGTACCTTGTGTTATCCTCTACCCCAGGGCAGCATAAAAAACTGCCAATCAGATATTTTGAGAGCTTTGTTCTTACTCTGTACTGGTGTAAGTAACAACATCAAGCACCTGGCCTTTGGCTTTATTATTTACCTTCCCCATAAGTGCTTTGCACACAGATGGTGCTATAAAGTAATCACAGCTGACACCATTACTAACTCATTATCAATTTATTGTCAGATTTACAGAGGTTGCTGCTAAATTCCCACCACGCAACTTCCTCAGTGGCTGCAAAAGGCAACCTCCCTGGCTCGGGGGCCCAGGGAGAAGCCTGTGATCTGAAATTGGATTGCATGCTCCCTCCTTGTGCCCGGACTTGCTGAGTCCCCGTCCCCCTCTCTTAACAGTCCAGCTCCCGCAGTTCCCACTACGGTGCCTGGGGCCGCAGCGGAGCCTGGGGCAGCCGTCGCTCCAGCTGGAACAGCCTGGCCCGGGGACACAGCCTGAAGCACAAACCTCCCTCTGCCGAGCACGAATCCCTCCTGTCTGGGGAAAGGCACAGGGCGGCAGATGGGGAGCCAGACGGGACGGGAAGGGTGTCTCATCACCGCCGGACGCTCTCCCTGGACAACAAAGGCTCCTGTGACCTGCTGGAGTTGTCCTCAGTCCCGTCTGGCAACCGAGTGACCCATAAGCTGGGAGCAGCATCCAGCGAGCATCAAGACTGCAATGGCAAAATGCCCAGTATCGCCAAGGAGATCTTCCCAAAGATGAACAACCGCAAGGAACGGGGAGAGGATGATGAAGAGATAGATTATGTGAGTACCTGGTGGAGGGAACCTGGGGTTACACCGCGGTGCTGTGGGAAACCCCAGATCCGTCCTCAAGTGTCAGTCTCTCTGCCACATGGATGGGACAGCTTGCAAAGATGCTTTAAGCACAGCTGGAGGACATCACCGAACGCAGATGGGACCTTCTAGACCCAGACAAGCTCAAACCACGTTGTGAGGCTGCCTGCAAGGCAGTCGTACAGGTGGATGGTGGGAGGAAGGACAATATAGGGTCACATGCATGGTCGTTGGGGGGCTGTCATTTCAGAGCAGTGCAGCCAGCGATTTCTACAGGCTAGGAAAGGTCAGGCTGTGCGAGGAGCAAGAGCTATGCATGGGGAAAATCAGCAGCAAGTACAGGACTGTACCAAATACAGATATATATGCTGTATGAAATTAAATCACTTCCAAGCCCAGGTGCCAACAGAAGGCTTTCCTGTCTTGGCCTCTCATTTAGCTGAGGTGGCAAGGAAACACTGTGCTCATGTAACAGAGCCACTCCAACAGTTCAGAGAAGGCATCATGGACAACATCCTGCTCTAGGAAGGACATCAGCAGTTTTATTTGTAATGATTTGGGGAGGAAACCAGATGCCAAGGGGTAAAAAGGCCCTGACAAAGCAGCTCCTACCTCCTTTTCAGTGGTTTGTTGCTCTTTGAGTCCATTTCCTTGTTCAGGGGCTTAAAGAACAGCAGGTAGTGCACTGGCAAACTGCAGGTAGTGGTGTTTTGGGGTCAGATGTGAAAGGAAGAGTGCCTTTCTCAGGCAAGTGGGAAGGTAACCAGTGGCACTTGCTTCTGCTGTGTCCCTCCAGAGCTTGTGCTTTCGCATCCGGAAGATGATGGAAGTCTATAAGCCAGACTGGTGTGAGTTACGGGAAGACTGGTCCATATATCTCTTCTCTCCACAAAACAGGTTTGTGCAGTTTTTGCCATGAAAGGGTTGAGAAGATGGGGCAGATTCTGTTGCCACGCTGGCCACATCCTCTGAGCTGCACGTTAGGTTGCAACTTTAAACTTACCAGCTGGGAATGTGATTTGTCTCCTCCATCTCCACTTCTACAGCCAAACAACATTTCTCTTCCTTGATTCTGGAGATGAAAGGAAGGATGAGAATCCTAAATAGCTATTGTGACTTTCCCTCCCTTTGGAGCATCCCATTTTTCTTTTGTGTAATCATAAATATTTATAGCAAAGCAAGGCAGGGAATACTAACATTAACCCAAAAAAGAGAAGGAATGTATTATTAACTACTTTCTAATACTGATATTTCCTCCCCTGGTACCAGAACAGTCTCTCCACTTCATTTTTAGTCCCAGTACCAACTTATCAGCAGTCATATCACACATTTTAGGGCAAAGTTAGAATACTTCTTGCCTGAAAAAAAGAAATTTTGGATAAATTCTTCCTTCTAAAGGGGTCTTCCCACCAGGAGAAAATGTCCATGTACCCCAGCCAACAGTATTCTCACCCATGTGCATCGCTCCTTGAAAAGAAGGGGATTTCCTTACAGGTCATGCAGGAGAGCTCTTTGCTCTGTGTGACACCTATGCTAATGAGCACAGTGTCCTTCGGAGCAGACAGAAGTGTGGTCCCCATGACTGCCAACCTATCTGCCTCTCCTCAGCTTTCAGCATGTGGCCTCTTTGCCCTGGGGTGGTACAAAGTGTGAGTTTGGGAGGAAAACTGAAACTCAGCCTCTTCTCTACGGGGCGAGAGAGGAGCACAGTGGTGCCTATAGTGATTAGGAAACCACTCTGGCATTGGGGCAATGGATGAAGGTTCAGCTCCTTGCTCTGCCCTTGCTCTGCTCCAGGCTCCCTGTGTGACCCTGGGCCACCCTGGGATATTGCCATGGCAAGGGACTTCAGTATCAGTGATAGGAAAACTGCTACGTCAGAGCTCAGTTTTGGCCAGACTTCTCAATTCTCTGTCCTCACAGCTCCTAACGTTGCTCTGCCCATGGCACAGGTGCCTACTGGAACTCTCTTGCAGGTTTCGCCTCCTCTGCCAAACCATCATTGCTCACAAGCTCTTTGACTATGTTGTGCTGGCCTTCATCTTCCTGAACTGCATCACTATTGCTCTGGAGAGACCACAGATTGAACACAGAAGCACGGTGAGCACCGTTTCCTCCCACCTGCTTTTTAGCACAACCTCTGACAGCGGTTCGTAAGTGTTCCTGGCACTGGTATGACCTCTGGAATAACTTCAGCGTTAAACACCAGCTCCCACTCATCTATTCAAATGCCCAAGTATTAGTAATTCACATAGTGCACACTTCCCCTGCAGGGTCTTATAATGGGGCAACACACTTTCTAAACAGTAATCATAGTTCCCTCCCTCTTGGAAAGTAAGAGAGTCCTCCAGGCACCTGCAGTTAAGCGATGACTGGCAAAAGGGACAGCGACTGGGGACTAAAAGGTAGAAGTAACTTCCATTCTGTACAAATGGCACGTCATCATTCATGTATGCTGCTTTTAAGCCATCTTGGAGGTGGCTGAAGCTGGCAAGTGAAATGGCTTTTTCTGCACATCTGCCTTAGCGATCCCCAGACCCTACTGCACTTACAATCCAGCGGTCAGTGCTCAGCAGCCTTTCGGGAAGGAGTCCCAGGTCAGCGTAGCAGGTCAGGACTGAGCAGCACTGGCAGAACAGGGCAGAGAGTGCCTTGAGACCAGATTTGCAGGCTGCATTGCAAATCCCATCCACTGTGCTCTTGCAGAGTTGCGTAGGATCCCGTCCCAGCTGTGGCACGGAGCTGAGCCAAGGTGTATCAGCTAAAAGCTGCCTAGTTCTGGCCTTTGCCAAAGGCACCTCTCTTATTTTCCCAACTTTCAGACCCTTCACAGGAAAGCAAAAGATATCAAATTCATCAGAGGGGCCTGACAGAGTGACAAGAAGTCATCAAGATACATTTAAGGCCTTTCTCTGTTTTTTCTAGGAGAGAATCTTTCTCACTGTATCCAACTACATTTTCACAGCAATTTTTGTAGCTGAGATGACACTGAAGGTAAGTTACTGGAGATGAACTGCTGAGAGCTTTTTCCCAGTGTCAGGAACAACATGGCTCACGTTTGCTCAGCACCCTTCTAAAATCTTGCCATCTTTTCAGTGTGTGAGTCCTTCCCTCTATCTTGGTAAAGGCAGATACCGCCTGGGGTTGTGTCCTCTCTTGTCAGACATGGAGGGGATGTTTATCCTAGGCTTTAAATCTGAATGGATCTTAGTATCCAGGAGGAATAGCTGACCTTCAGGTATGGATTTTGTAATGATATCAAATGTCCATTCCCTTTCTCCTGGAGCAAGAACAGGGGAAATAACAACAATATTAATAAAATGCTCTTAGTTGAGATAATTATTCAATAGGTGTCTAAGTACTTTGCAACAATAGGGAAATCTTGTTATTCCCCTCCTGTGATCAGGAAAGAGTCCTAAAACTGGGTGCCTGAAGTTAAACCCCTAAAATTCATACCTGAATTATGGCCATGATTTGCAGGGTGTTCAGCTCTCCCCAAGGCAAGCAATTTCTGTAGTGCCTGCTGGTGTTGAGAACTGCTGAGACTCGAACCACCCCTTTAAGAGCCAAAGTACGGGTTTTGGTGCCCGATTTTACCTCCCAGGTGATCTCTGGACTGGGAGACTTGTCCCAGGTCTGTGGCATGGCAGGAAAAGGTTTCCTGCGTGTTCCCTACAGTGTGCTGTTGCTCAGGGAGGCAGAGGAAAGGTGGGAAGACACCATGGCCCTGTTATTTCTGGAGTTACGTGCCACCACTTTCCCCAAAGACGTTTTCCTTCATAGTCTTCCAGGCAACGTGGAGAGAAGCCATTTAACCCCCTCTCCTCTCCCCTCTCTTGCAGGTGGTCTCCCTAGGCCTGTATTTTGGGGATCAGGCTTATCTCCGCAGCAGCTGGAACATCTTGGATGGCTTCTTGGTCTTCGTGTCTCTCATTGACATTGTGGTCTCGGTGGCCTCTGCTGGCGGTGCCAAAATTCTGGGGGTGCTGCGAGTCCTCCGGCTGCTGCGCACCTTACGTCCCCTCCGGTCAGAGCCCCACTGAGCCCTGCTTGGCCCCCTTTTCCCACCAGCCCCCCCCCAGGAAGGGTCCCAGAATCAGGTCCCGCTGTGCCAGGCAAAGTGTGGTCTTTGACAAGCCATAAGCCACAGTGAGGTTCCTCTTAGCCGTATGGCTCTGGCCCTGGAGGTACCTCATCAGACAACCAACCCACAGGACAGAAGAGGCTTTCTGGTCGCAGGAGATTGGTCCCCACTGATGGGTCACTGCACAGCAAGAGTGGGGGTCCACTGCTGCTGAAAATGCTTAGCTTAGCCCAAACATCCCCGCCCCGTCCCTCTGTCACCGCTCCCCTTCCTTCCCTTCCAGAGTCATCAGTCGAGCCCCTGGCCTGAAGCTGGTGGTGGAGACGCTCATTTCTTCCCTCAAGCCCATAGGAAACATCGTCCTCATCTGCTGCGCTTTCTTCATCATCTTTGGCATCCTGGGTGTGCAGGTAGGTTGTTGCTGCCCATCAAACAGCCCCTGTGCCCACACCCCTGCCACGGGCGCCCGTACCCCCAGGTCCTACAACAGACACAACCAAGCACAGCAGGAGGGCCAGGCAAGCTGGGAAATTTTCTGCACCTGCCCTCCTCCGTGAGCTTCTCCCACCATAACGTCCCGCAGCCTTTGGCAAGGACAGCTGGGTCCTCAGCGAGCGCAGGCGTTGCTGGATGTGTGAGACAGGAGTTAGCGCTCACGCCTGGCAGGAGTTGGATCAGGGTTTGGGTCGGCGTTACAGGGAGAGCCCAGCACAGGGCTCGCTGGGCTCGTCCATGTCACGCCACGAGGGCAAGCAGCTCAGCGCCTGCTTGCATGAACGCTGCCTCCAGTCAGCTCTGTTTCTCCCCCTTGCTCTAAGCCCTAAATCCACCCACAACCTTCTTTTATTTTTTTATTTAATCCTCTTTATTTTCAGCTGTTGCATTGCAGAGGAGCAAGGGCGTGGGCGTTACTTCTATCTCAGGGAATGCGCTATACTTAGTCTGCTCTGATGCATCTGTACAAATGCACAATCCAGTACCTTCCATATGGGGAAAGAGCCCTGGGCAGAACAGCCACAGCAGTGCAGTGCAGCTTTGTGGGGAAAAAAAAAAAAAAAAAAAGTATCTGAGAACCAGGGGATGTTTTTTCTGGTTCTTTACCCTCAGATGAGATCTTCTTTTCCTATCAGCTCTCTCAGTAACTGGGAAGCAGGGAGGGGAGATTACTCTTGGGGACTGAATAGAAGATTTTTTTTTTTTTTTTTTTTCCTTTTGGGCTGGTGGCTCTAATTGCACCCAGAAAGGCTGCCCTAAAGGCTGTCAGATGGTAAGGGCTTACAGTCACTGCTGACCTGGGGCAATGGAGGAGGCTGAAAAGCCAGGTGTGGGTTTATGAGGGTGGCCCTGGCTCCTTGGCAAGGTTTGAGCCTGTGCTCTACGTCACGTTGGCGGTCATTCCTACCTGTCATGCTCCACCTGGCTTGCAGCCCTGCACTCCACCCACCATCTCAGGAGCTTCTGCACATCCCAGGGAGCATGGGGAACCCTGTGGGGAAAGGGGCTGATGGGGTCACTGCCATCCTGCAGCTCTTCAAGGGCAAGTTCTACCACTGCCTTGGAGTCGACATCAGGAACATCACCAACCGGTCCGACTGCGTGGCCGCCAACTACAAGTGGGTGCACCACAAGTATAACTTCGACAACCTGGGACAGGTGAGTGTGCCCGCAGCTCCTGTCTCTGGTGGGAACCCAGCACAAGGTTTGTCTCCTCCTATAGGTACCTCTCCCCGGGGCACAGATGCAGTGCTTGGAAAGCCTGATCCTTGGGCCAGGAGGGACAGTTATTCGGCACGGGTATCCATGCAGAAGCTGTGTCACTACTGCGTTGGTATCGGGATGATGCTTACAGGTTGTGGGGGAAAGAAAAGTGGTGGCAGCAGAGAGCTTGATTTTCTTTTTCCTCCTGCCACAAAGCAGATGTTCCTCACAACCTCTCTCCCCTGGTGGGTCTGGCTGCACATGGCCTCCTGTCCCCCCTCCCTCTCCTCCACGGGGGAAGGAGCAGGTTTTGATGTATGCAGAGACACAGGCAGGAAGAGTATTTCAGTGTTGTGTGTATTAGAGCGTAAACCCATGATTTTTTTTTCCCAGCCTGCCAGATGCACCCGCTCCACATCTGCTTTGTTTTGTGTGTTGCAGGCTCTGATGTCCCTCTTTGTTCTGGCTTCCAAGGATGGCTGGGTCAATATTATGTATAATGGACTAGATGCTGTGGCTGTTGACCAGCAGGTACGAAGACTTCCTTGAGAAAGGACCTTTTTCACTTTCCTCGGGCTAGTAAGGCAGAAGCATGCTTTAACATCCTGCTTCAGACACCTCCCTCAAACCAAGAGTCCCTTCCAGGGCCCTTCTGAATCCTTTGCTCACCTATTTGCAAGGTGTCAGAGTCATGCCTGGTCCATGCAGGGAGGTGCAGCTGTGGCTGTGCAGTGCACGTCTGTAGTAATTCTCACCCTCTACTCAGTTTGGATCTCACAGCAGGTCTTTATCTATTTGTAATGACAAAGAAACAATGCCATGTGCCTTTCTGGTCATGCTGGCTCCCTCCTAGCCCACAGATGGTTATTTTAATACGCTGTAAAACAGGGACTGTTGGTCTGCTGCCCATTGCATCCCTGTTCCTCTACTGCTAAGGCAATGACCTTGATAGTGTCCAGTGTAGGCACCTGCCATGGGATGCAGTACCACAGGCTTGAACCTTGGGGATGATGCTCCATTTACATCTGAACCTCTGCACAAGGTGCACCACTGTTGGCTTGGTAGGCTTTTTGTCAGGAAACCCCGTGAAATTCAGGGCCTCCTTTCTCTCCGAGTCTGAATGACATTTCTATTCCGGTCTCATCATCGTTTTGGTGGTGTGTGGATGTGGTCTCTACTTGCCCTCCAGCCAAAGGTGTTCCCTGGAACCCATTTTACCACATACTGGTGTTGTACTCCATCAGTGGCTGGGGTTGTACCCGAATCGTGGGTGACTCTGTGCAGGCAGGCCCTTGCCCTTGACTCCCACCCGCTCCATCAATCACCAGCTGATGCCAAAATCCAGTCAGCCAATCACAAACTGCCTTGCCTGTAGCCCCAGCTCTTCCCAGCCCACTCCCCTGATTTCCATAACCCCTCCCCACCTCCCCAGCAGCCAATCACCATGGCAGGTCCCACCCCCATCATTTCCATACCACCATGCACCCAACTGACTGACCGCCTCTGTTCTCCCTCCTCCTCCAGCCAGTGACCAACAACAACCCCTGGATGCTCCTCTACTTCATCTCCTTCCTCCTCATCGTCAGCTTCTTTGTGCTCAACATGTTTGTGGGGGTGGTGGTGGAGAACTTCCACAAGTGCCGGCAGCACCAGGAGGCTGAGGAGGCACGCCGGCGGGAGGAGAAGCGCCTGCGCCGTCTGGAGAAGAAGCGAAGGAGTAAGGCACAGCCTAAGTGTTTGGTCGGTTCGTAGGCCAAGGTTTTCTGAGAAAAGCCTTCTCCTCTTCTTTTTCTTTCCTGACGGACCGGTCTCTGAAACGCATCGCTTGTGGCCACGCTCTCAGCCGTCCTCCCCATGCCACTGCCGTGTCGCTACGCACCCCACTGGGGCGGTCTGGGGAAGAGGGGTGGCTGATGAGGTCTGCTGGGACTGCGGGGAAGCCGCTGGGGTTTTAGCACCCTGCCCCTCGGGAGATAAGATGTACCAAAAATACCCCTGTGCACGTGCTGGTGTGCACTGTCAATCCAGGACGTGCACGCATCGGTGCCCATCCTGGGCTTGGGATAGTCCCACCTGGGCTTCCTGCAACCCAGCCGGTGTTTGGGGGAAGACCTTGACAGGCCATCCTGTGTGTTTAAACCCAAATTTAAAGAAGAGGGAGGGGGGAAAAAAAAAAAGAGGAAGACCCTTGTGTTTTGTTCCTGGCTCTTTCTGTCAAAGTTGCAGTGTCATTCCTTGGGGTCCCAGACCCTCTGTGGTGAAGCAAGCTCTCTTCCTGGTGTTTCTGTCCTCTTCTGTATTACCTTTAGACAAAAATTGCAAAAGCATACTTGCCCCTGGAAATCATCCCTACTACCCCAGACTGATGGGGTTTTTCCATTTGCAGCCTGTGGGCATGCTTTCCCTTCCTCTCCTCCAGTTTTTCCCCTCTCTCCTGTGACACCCCGGGGCCTCTCCTGGAACCATCTGCTCCCTTTGATCATTTGTGATCTTAATTTGTCGAGGCATGAAATGCTGATTTAGCACCATTCCCACAAACATAGACTAACAGATTTTCTTTCTAGCATTCCTTTCCTTGTCTTTTTTCTACTTATTTTCCCCCGACTTCTACTTCCCTCTTTTTGCATTTTTTCCCTCCTTCCTATGTCCCCTACCTTTTACCTATCCTTTTCTGTTCTTTCTGTCTCCCACCTTCATTCCCTTTTCTTTCAACACCTATCACCACTCTTATGCCTGCTCCCTCTTCAGTGTTTCTTACCCATTTCTCTCTTTCTTCCAATTTCTTCCTAATTCTGCCCATCTCCCTCTTTCCACTGAAGAGGCGCAGCGTTTGCCGTACTATGCTACCTACTGCCCCATACGCCTCCTTATTCATTCGGTCTGCACCAGCCACTATCTGGACATCTTCATCACTTTCATCATCTGCCTCAACGTGGTCACTATGTCCTTGGAGCACTACAACCAACCTGTGGTGAGTGACATCATGGAGATAAGCCCTGCCTCGAGTCATTATGTTATTTTGCTACAGCTCTCTGATGACCACTGCCTACCAGCATAGGTGGGACACTTGAGTGTCTCTTAAAAAATACTGTTAAAGTGTTGCAAGAGTTAATGTAGTAGGCAAAGTTATGTGAAGAGTTCTGTACGTATCCAGAAAGGTAGCCCCTGCTCAGATACCTGTTATCCGTTAAAATCAATAGAGAGAAGGCATCTAAGCAAGAGTCAGGCCCCTAGAAAGCATGGTGCAATTAAGTCTCTGTGCTTTATATTATTAAGTGGATATGTGGGTTGCCCAAATTGAGCTGCTTGGTCTGCTTTGTGTGTTCCCCTGTATCCTAACAGGAGGAGTCATGGAAGCAGCAGTACCCTGAGAGCTTCAGGCTTTGCAGCAGGTTTCCAAATGTCAGTTTGATTCTCCTGCCATATGGCCTGAGCTGAGAGGACTAGAGTGGCTGGTTGCGTGTCATGGGATGGGATGTCTTTACTGAGCCACCTTTTTTCTGTAAGAGAAGCTGCAGGGCCAAACAGAGCCTCTCTCAGCTGCAGCGGGTGATTCCCGGTAAAGGGCCTTGAAGGCCAAATAGGTTGTATACTTTGGCTGGGGAAGACCACATACCTCTCAGTGTTCCTGGTAAAGTTCTAGATGCCTTTGATGGGAAAAAATATATGCTGCACATATCAAAGGAGCTTCCTGCCTCCATATGTAGACAAAGCATTCATCATGACATTGGCCCAGTGGCATTTCAGTTTTCTTTTCGGGATAGCCTTGGTTTAGGTGACAGCTCTGGTGTGTGAGCAGATGCCGTCCAAAGTAGCTCAGGCTTTGATCAGGAGCTGAATCTGTCTGTCCTCATTCAAATCCACTGCCAGGCTCCTCTGTCTCTTGCCCAACTGCCCAGCTTTTATCTTGCCCTTGATGGTGCCCAGTTCTACTCTGCGGGAGCTCTCAACCTTTATCTGTTGTCATCCTCATGTCAGGCCTTTGTTCCTGACCAAGTCAGTCCTCTTACTCCTCAACTCCTTCCCCTGGAACGCAGGTCCAGCCATGCCAGCCTGCTGTCAGGCTCTGCTAAAGAATCTTGCCAAAGCACTTCGAACCCTTCCAGTACAAACTGCCACCAAATGCTGCCCACTGCTCACACTGGTCCATGGTGGTGGAGAAGGGGCAGCACATAAAAGAACCAGAAGCCCAACAGCTAAGAGATGCCACGTATGCCTGCCCCAGACCAAAGCACAGAGGCGTTTCCTCCCATCAGAGGTGACGCATATCCACAGCTGGAGTAATCTTCATGCCTTACTTCTGGTTGATAGCTATGCCAGTGCCATTAGCACGGTGGCATCCAGGTGGCATGGGCTACTGGCAGAAGAGAGGGCTTGATGGATTCTCCTTGTAATAGCTGCCTCCTCCCCGTTATACTGAGCAATACAGGAGAAAAGAGCAATAACTGATCCTGAGAACAACAAGGGGCAGAGGGGTCAGCTGGTGGTTGCCCTTAGTAGGCAGCCTCCACATTCAAGTGGGTAGGAGGCATGGGGCAGCTTCCCCACTTCCCAATGAATTCCTGGCACTCAGGAGAGCCTCCCCACCCAGGTTATGTGCTTGATGTTGCTTTTGCCTCAATTCTTTACCCTCTTTTTCTGCTGGCAGTCCCTGGAGACCGCCCTCAAGTACTGCAACTACCTGTTCACCACCGTCTTTGTGTTGGAGGCAGTCCTCAAGCTGGTGGCATTCGGTCTGCGGCGATTCTTCAAAGACAGGTGAGCGGAGGGTTATGTCAGTTGTGACTGTGGGACAACTGGGGTTGGGGTGGAGGTCTCGAGGATGAATCCCTGTCTGGAGTGTGAGGTGGTAACAGACTGCCCTGACTGCCTCCCCGTTCTGCACAGCATGGACCTAGCTTGAGCCAGCATAAGCCGCAATGCGTAAGCAATAATAGGAGTTGTCCAAAAATTGCCTCTTGGTTGGCATCTGCTGGTTAGGCTAGAAAGCAAAGGAGGTGGGGTTAGAGAGAGCCATTTTTTTCCTGCCCCTGAGGCAAACTGGGAGCATGCTGAAGCAGAACGTATATAACGAAGCTGATTCGAGGTAGTAAGGCCATAAAAAGCTGAGCCCATTAGTCAAAGTATAGCACCATAGTAACACAGCTCCATGCTTTCAGATCAGGCTGGCTTGCCTCTGGCTGCTCAGGGTGTGTGCAAAGTCAATCTCTGTTTGTCTGCAAAAGCCCATATAGGCTGTCTCAGAGTGGGGCCTTGAACTCATACATAAAGAAATATTTAGGTTGAAGTGGAGACAATTCACTTTCTTTTTCAGGGAAATGGAAAAACTCCACCTTCCTTTATTCTCTTAATTTTTTTTCTTCTTAAGGTGGAACCAGCTCGATCTGGCCATTGTGCTGCTGTCTGTCATGGGCATCACGTTGGAAGAGATTGAAATCAATGCTGCTCTCCCAATTAACCCCACTATCATCCGGATCATGAGGGTGCTGCGTATCGCCCGGGGTGAGAGAGACACTGGCCAGAGGCACGGGTGTAGGCAGCCATGGAGTGGGACCTGGTGCCATGGCTCGTTGAGCAGTGGCTGTAGAGTCATGGGCTCGCCCTGTCCCTAGCCCTGGGAGGGAGGCAGGGGATGTGATGAAGGACAGCCTAGAGGCTAAGGCTTTCTGCTCCCTTTAGCCAGGCATTTAGGTGCAGTGGTTTTAACATGGGGTGAAGGACCAGGAGGGTGAGCAGATCATGTCAGAGCTGAACTTTCCCTGTTGTTCTATGGGCCAAGTATGGTAGCGGTGTTTGGAGAAGGGGCCACCAAGCAGGTTGAAGTTTGCACAGGGAAGGGAGTGCATCTTCCTGATGGTGGCCAAGGTGTGCTAAGCTGCCTTAACAGATGGTGGCTGGAGGAAGGGGATGTGATGGAATGAAAAACCAGAGCAGAGGGAGAAGTGTGATACACATTTCTGGGAGAAAGAGGGCTCTTGGCCAGACTGTTTGGGTGAAGCAGAAGAAGCCCAATAGGCATGGGTGGCAGAGTATTTAGTAAGAAGAGGATGGACTGGAGGAGAAGGAACCACTAGGACTGTACAGTCAAAAAAAGTGGAAAAAGGGAGAAGGGGGCCAAGGGGGACAATCCAGTTTTTCTAGGGCAAGGGAAGACAGGACATCTGTCTTGTGCTACTGCCATTAGTAAGTCACACAAAGGATGGACCTTCTGAGCTCAGTCTGAGGGACACTTCTCTTGTGCTTGTTGTGGCAGTCCTGAAGCTACTGAAGATGGCCACAGGAATGCGAGCACTGCTGGATACAGTTGTTCAAGCCCTGCCACAGGTAAAACAGACCAGCTTCCCCAAAGATTCTCCTTTTCTGCACCCTTTTTCCAAAGGGTTGATTCTTGTGGAGTCTCAGAGCTGGTGTCCACTGTGTTGTGCAGGCAACTGCCTGAAGGTGATGTCCAAGTTTCCATGTCATTCATAGGGGTACAGCTCTCCTCAGATAAGTGTTGTCCAGGTTCTCATGTCAATCACAGGGGTACAGCTTACCTCACATCTCTGTTCTCCAGCGGTTGAATGAAATAAGCCTTGATCCCTGGATAAGGGCAGATTTCTTCCCATCACATCTAGCTAGTGACTAACTGCTTGCAGCCAGTTCCCAGCTCCTCTCTCCCCTCTCCGTAAGAAGGGAAGAGTGACTGGCAGCCAGTTCAGGAGGAAAGGAGGCCTTTGCGTCTCTACTCCTCTCACCCTTCCCCGCATGTGCCTCCCTTTCCCCCCTCTCATTCACACTCCTGTCACTCCTTTTCTTAGCCAGTGCTTCCCCCTTCCTACTCCCTTTTCTTCCTTTCTCCTCCTGGATCCCTTTGTGTTGCTGAGCCTCTCGTGTACGAGAAGCAGTGACGCGCTCTGTTGTGGCTCACGCAGCCGGCAGTTAAGTGTCTACTGCAAGACAGCTAGACAGAAGGATTTCATGAGCTGTGAGCGGCAGCTGTTCCCAAATGAGCTGCTGACATGGTACTTTACACAGGCTTCAAGCCCACTGTGAGGATCCTCCGTGATGGATGAGCAGCCAGGGAGACTGGTCCTCTTCCTTTTGGATCCTTAGGAGAGAATTGTTAAGCAAGGAGTAATGGCACCAAGTGGCTCTACTGATCATACATCAGACCATTCCCCTGGCAGGCCCCGAGCAGGCAGCTATATTGCATGATATCAAAATGCACGGGCATTTGTCAGTTGATTTATCAGCTAATGTGCCAGTCTTGGTGAGTGATGCAGAGCTGACGATCAAGCTGAAAACAGCATGACTAGTTACCCAAGGAGTTTACTTCTGATGTTGGTGGCAATAAATGTCAATCTGAATTAGAGGAATCTTGTGGCACAAAAGCGAGGTGGAAACACTGTGATCTTTTATGGATCCTGACCTCTGTCTGATCTCCCATGCTTTTTATTAAACAATAATAATTTGTGGCTTTGTCTAATAATAATAATTATATAATTCATATGTAGGATATCATCCAGGATAGTTGGGGGCTGAGATACACTGGACAATGGAAGGAACAAGAGATTAAGTGTGTTCTTATAGCAGGCAGCTTTGAGCCAGTAACGTTTATTAGTTCTGGCTCTGCTGCCCCAGGCTGGCTCAGTGCAGCTGCTTTGCACCTTGCTTATTTCTGTTCCACGAGCCACAACAGCTGATTTTTCTCAGGCAAGGGTCTGGTACGGAGCAGGTCTCCAGATCCAGCACCTGCATGTCTGTGGCATGTTTATTCTGCAACCCACATAAATGCACATAGATATTAAGAGCTGGCTGAAGTAGTATGCAGAAGCCCTTGGTAAGAGGACTCTGCAGTATATCTGCGCTTAAATAGTGAGAGTCAACTTCTACCCACAAAATATCTCTCCCTGTCATGTAGATGGAGAAACTGAGTCATCAGGCAGTGAAGTGTTTTGCTCAGGATGGCAAAAAGCACGGCTTGGACCTAAATTCAAGTGTCTGAGCCCTGCTCTGGTCCTAGCCATAAACCACAAGTATATTCTTCCATACTTTATAAATTCTGGCTTTTCTGTTTCCCATTCACCGACAGCTTCTTTGCTAACCAAGATGGTAGGTCAGGTCTTTTGGAGGTCATTAATATCTGCCACAAAACCCTCACAAGCAGGTGTCTAAAGGTCTGGCCTCCAGGTATTCCCTGGAATGTAATAACAAGCAGGCCTTAAACCTTCCAGCATCAAAGCCTACGATCAATCCACTTCCTATTGACTGGCTTTTGCTTCCTTCTGTAACAGGTTGGCTTCATTTAATGAAGTTATATAACAGAGGGATCAAAAATCACTCCATATTTAAAGTTGTGTAAAAATCTGCACTTAAAGCAGGGCTAAAATCTCCCAGTTTCACTGTTAAAAGATTGAATTTAGTCTCCATATTTTATACACTGGGTCTTCAGGGGACAATTGAATTATCTGTAATATTATTCTCCAAGATTTATTGGCTTTGCCAAAAGAAGCAGTTTAAAATAAGCTGTCCTTTCCCTTGCGCTTTTTCCTCCTCTCGACCTTTCTCTTTATGTTCCTAGAGCACAGACTCACATCAGGGATTTGGGCTTGCTAATGGCATTTAAGGCATCTCCACTTGTCCTGTTTCAATTCCCTTCCTGTCTTTGTTATACTGCAACAATTCTTGATAGTGAATAGAGCTTTAATTTTAAAGACCCCTTTGGAAATGTAGCCCTTAGCTAAGTTTTATTAACTTCTTTTTCTTAATACCCTGTAGACACAGACCCAGAGGTATGTGTTCACAGCATTTGCTATGGTGTCCAATTTAGTCATCAGAAATAATTCCTTCCACTGAGTATGTAGGGAGCCAGGATCTGGCAGCCCAGGGGAGTGGGTGGGCTGAATCATTTATTTCTCTCCTGAATTTGGATGGCACAGCAGTTGCAATGTCTAAATTAGACTCCTGAAGTGGATGATCCTAACAAAGGCCCAGACCACATGCATTCAGACCAGACACTGTTCAGTTTTTCAAAAACACCCGTATACAGTTAGGTCCTTAATTTTTCCCTGCCTTCTCTTGCTCCACCAACAGTGTGCTAACTGTTACTGGCATTTTCTGTTACAGTTCAGCCTACGTCTTCCAAAACCCCCTCCTGCTCCTCACGTATAACCTAGCTGCCCCACATGCAGGGAGGCAGGAGATTCAGCGGCAAGCAGTAATTTGGGGGAGTGAGGACTTGGGGGCAGTGCCCATATTGCTGGTGGCACCGCTGCCTTTGCGCACCACGAAGCAGCAATCCTCGCAATGGGGGGTTTCCAAACAGCAGTTGCTGGAGGCCCAGAAATCAGGCTTTGACCTATTATTCATGAGATGGAAAGGAAGCTCTGCTTCCTCTCTTGACTCCTTCATAGTCTCCTCTTCTTTCTTCTTCTCCTCCTCTCCACACATTTCAAAAGTGCCTCTTTACCCTTCTTCCTTCCCGCCTGCCTACTCCTTCCACAAGCCCTGCTGTAGCTCCATGTGTAGCTGGTGCTTTGCCCCACCACGCTCTGCCTGGTTCATGGCAGGAGCTGCTGTACCTGTGTCCTTGTCTCTCTGGAGCTCTGCCATTGTGCTCTTCACATGAGCGGAACTTCAAGGGACTTCGGCAGTTTGGTGGGGCATGCAGCACTGCGGGATGTGTCTGTATGCTGTAATCCGTAGCTTGTCCTTCACCCAGACAAACTGGCTTCACCTTCTGTGTCCCTGCCCCAATGTTCTTGTCTTCATCTGGCCCAGAAACTGCACACTTCAGGCAGCCCTGGTCAGAGCTTGTGCTGGAGTGAAGGCAACTGGGAAAAGAGCGTCCTTCAAGTCCAGTTGCAATGGGTGCCATCACTGGTGGTTACCCAAGCCTTGAGCAATTGTTTGGTTGCATTTGTACGCTGGGAATTTGCTGCTGTTGTCTTCAGGCTTTGAAAGACAGAAACTTGCCTGTACAGATGAAATAGGCTTTGGGGTAGGCTGACCATGCTGTTCGCTTTCAGGTTGGAAACCTTGGACTCCTTTTCATGCTCCTCTTTTTCATCTACGCTGCTCTAGGAGTGGAGCTCTTTGGAAAACTGGGTAAGTCTCAAGCAGACCATGCTCCAGTGTGAGCCACAAACCTGCTGGGAAGCTGAGGTTTCTCAAAATCAGTGCTCATTCAATAAAGGGACTGAATTACTTGATGGCCTTTATTCTCCCTTATGCGTAATTGATGTAAGAGAAATTTCCCTCTAAATTGTTATTGTCCTAACAGCCTAACAAAATAAAAGCAGTGTCTGGTTTCTCTTTCATTCTTAAACTTTTGCTTTTTCGGCACTGCCTGCCTTGATACTGCCTTCAAGATTACAAGAAAAACTCAGGGAAAGTTTATTTACATCTCTTGCCATGGAATATTGATCAAGAAGAAAGGCAGCACAATGACACGTGGGGAGGATACCCCTGAGCAACTGAGTTACACTGCCTGATATCCTGGGGCTGGGCCATCAGGGATTTTTCTGTACTGCTGGGCAACAGCCAACTGTTGGGCAGGGGGCTGATGCCATGACCTGAGGTCTGCAGGCTGTGAGAAGCCTGAAGTCCCCTTCCCCGGCTCCTGCTGTTGCTCTGGGGGTCAGCAGCGTGCCCTCCGTTGATAGCCGCGATCCCCTTCCTTTCAGTATGCAACGATGAGAACCCCTGTGAGGGCATGAGCCGCCACGCCACCTTTGAGAACTTCGGGATGGCCTTCCTCACGCTCTTCCAAGTGTCCACGGGTGACAACTGGAACGGGATCATGAAGGTAACTGGGGCTCAGGGGCATGGATGCCCTTATTGTGGGGAAGGAGAAGTTCTGATGTGTGCTCTGTTCAGCAATGCTTGGGCCAAAAAAGAGGAGGAGTGCAGGAGCTGGGTTGCTAGATGAGGACCCTGCTTGGGCCGCAATTTCCCTCCTCATCACGGTAACTCGTAACTTGGGCTCGTCTAGTCCTACAGACGTGTGTCTGAGGAAAGTTCAAGTTGTTCTTGGGAGGAACAAGACGATTGTCCAGACTAAGAGGGAATATCCACTGTTGTCAAGCCTGTTATCAAAGCTTAATGTAGGCACGTATGTTGTAGGACATGTAGGACATAGCACACATCTGCAGAGCTACCAGGGCAATCCAAAATAAATCCTTCCTTCAAAGGACATGGAGAGAGGAAAGTTCTTTGAACACATATAATGTTTTTGAGTCTGGCTAGGAGAAGGCAGTACCAGACTGCTCATTTTTGTTCTTGCTCATGTGTGTGGCTACAGTGGCAGCAACGTGTGATGGTCTGGAAGTAGTTTGCTCTGTATGCCTTGGGATGTATTTGTTCTGAAGCAGAGAGCACATGATCAGATAGTGTCCCAGATTCTTTGAGGACCGCATGATCCCAGAGGGTGTGGGGTGATAGAAATGTTTGCCTTGTTCTTTGCGTTGGCATCAGCGTTTTTTGACCGAAAGAGCAGCCAAGCTTGTATTCTTACTTTAGTCCTTCCTTCCTTCCATCGTTCCCTCTCAAACCCAACTTCCCCTCAAGGATACCTTGCGTGACTGCAGCCACGATGACCGGAGCTGCCTCAGCAACCTGCAGTTCATCTCCCCACTGTACTTTGTCAGCTTTGTGCTCACAGCCCAGTTTGTCCTCATCAATGTGGTGGTAGCTGTGCTCATGAAACATCTCGACGACAGCAACAAGGAGGCCCAGGAGGATGCAGAGATGGATGCTGAGATTGAGCTGGAATTTGCACATGGGCTGTGCTCCCGCAAGTCAAGCTCCCCAAATTCAGGACAGGGAAAAGGAGCAGGAACAGGAGGAGGCGGTGGGAGAACAGATCCTGAAGGCCATCTGTGCATGAGATGTTATTCTCCAGCACAGGTGAGTACACCTTTGAGCTTACCAACCAGACTGAAGCAAGTAGCTGTGGGGAGAAGCTGGGTAGCCTCGGTGACTGAGGGCTTAGCAATAGCAGATACACTCTTGCACCTCAGGGTGAGAGGTTTGTTTTCAGCGGCAGACTTTTGTGCGGGGACAGGGCTGTGACAGCAGTGGGTCCTGTTCATCGTCATCATGGTGTAGGAACCTGAGGGCCAGCAGAGGAGGGATGGAGCAGATCAGCTGAAGGTGTGTTAGGAGCACATTTGAGAGGGGAGCTCAGGAGAAGGGAATGGGGGAAATGGCAGATCAAGAGTGAGGCACTCCAGCAGAGCTGGAAGGGAGGCATAAGCAGTGCCGTGGTGCGCTGTGACAGTGAGTGAAGACAGTCCCTCCTTTTTTTTTTTTTTTTTTTTGTTGCATTGAACTCTGGCACCTTTACACACCCTAAGGAGCAAATGCTCCCCCAGTGACCCTGTGCAGGTACCTGCAGAACAAGGTGCTGCTCCAGATGAGTCAGGGTGGAGAACCCAGCCCCAAATTCACATGAAACTTTGAAGCAAAAAACTGGGCATTCTTAAAATGATCTCTCCCATCCTCCCCCCTTTCTTGTCCCCTAGGAGAACTTATGGCTGGACAGTGTCTCTTTAATTATTAAGGACTCCTTCGACGGGGAGTTAATGATCATCGATAACCTATCGGGCTCCGTCTTCCATCATTACTCCTCGCCGGCCATGTGCGAGAAGTGTAACCATGACAAGCAAGAGGTAACCTGCGTACGAGGATGCGTGAGGGGACTCTCCCCCCAAGACCTGCACACCCACGCCCACATGCCTGCAGGTCGTCCGATGTGTGCTTCTGGCTGTAGATCGTGTAGACAGAGAGCTTGTTGACCTGTTTGTCATCTGTCACGAATTGCTGATACTGCCTCTAGTACAGGCCTGCCCTCCTTAGCCATGGGGGGATGTTGGAGGTGGTGGAAAGGTGAGATGTGCCAGGACGCAGGTCAGGAAGGACTCAATGAGCTGTGGAGAAATAATTATGAAGGCGTCCTGGCAGCTCTTGTTGTGTTCAATTCTGCAAGAAAAGCCGAAGTTTAAGTTCATGTTGTACAGAGGACTGAAAGGATCTCACCCCAATGACAGCACTGAGGGGCAATTCAGTGGGAGATTTAAGCGTGTGTTTTGTCTTCATTTTAAGCACGTGCTTGCTTATTCCCTGTTGAGGTTGATGAATTAAGCACGTGCTTAAATGCCTTGTTGACTAGAGTCACCGTCTGTGAGCAAGGATTGGTTTGTGGTGAAAACCAGTTAATTACTTTGAGCAAAAAGTAAATTAAAATGGGCCCACTGAGAAAGTTTGAGAGTCTCTTTTCTCATGTAGAACCTGTTAGCTGACAAACGGGTTATTGCTAAGAGCAGGACACCAAATGGCTTAGACTTGTGCTTCTATAGTTAGTAGATGCTTTGGAAAACTACTTCCTAGGCCATTAGTCTTTTCAGGTTGTGAAACTTCAGGAGTCTGGGAGAAGTTAGGTGAATAGCAGAATTAATTTTGTTTCTGAAATCATTTTATTGTAGTGAGGTGCTATGATCGTGGTCAGACTTGTAACATTAGCATGGCTCATCTGACAGTAAATCAGTACATCAGTGGCAATCTTCACCATCTCCTTCCCCATGACTAACTTGATATGTTGCTATTGCTCATGAAGAAACCAGGAAACTTGGGAAGAGAGTTCTCATTGGCAGATTACTCTATCCATGGTTCTGATGCTCTAATTTTTTTTCAGCCTTTCAGCTATCTGCTTGTCCCCATAGCTTCCCTTTGAAATATCAAAATGCGAATATTGCTGTAGTTTATCAGTATTGCAACACTTCACAAATAGATGCTGTATTAATACAGCCAAATAACTAGTTTTCAATTAACTGAATTTTCCACTGCTTTGCATAAGTCCATATATTCAGGAATTGGTGCTCAGCCTTCTCAGGAAATCAGGTCTTCTAAGGCATTCCAGAATGATTACCCTAGAATTAAGTCATTTGCAGCTAGTTTGCTGCATTTGAAAACCTTCCAGATAGTCTTCAGTATCCTGCCTAGGAATGAAGACAACAATAACAGATTTTTTTTCTTAACTTCCCAGCAAGGAAACTAGGCAGCAAAATCTTTAAGCGCAACCCACAGCCACAGCAAAGAGTTTGACAGAATAATCACAACCAAAGAATTATTCTTAGACCATATTTTCTAATGGCTGTTATAGAGCCATAAATTATTTTTCAAAATTGATATTTCAATACTTCTAAAATGTGGAATTGAAAAGAAATGGTCCAAATGCAGGAATAACGTTAGTGGTAAAATGTAGGTATTTTATTTCTGATCATATGAATCAAAACTGCAGCTCAGGATTTTAAGTCACGGTTGATCATGACCTTCTCTTTATATTTCATAGTATAAAAAACACTGAGGAAATTCCAAGAGGAAATCACTACATGGAGTCACAGCTAGGCTTGTCCCTGCACTAACACCAGCAATGCACACAGTCATTAAATGAGAGTGTACTCTGGTACATCAACATATCCGAATGTGCGTTGTACACACAGAATTGTACTATCTCAGAAGCAACCGACAGCAAGTTATATAGGCAAAACAGGTTTTATCTAGTCCTATTCAATGAATGTGTGTTTGAACAAAACAGTATGCTTGTTGCCCGCCCAATCACCCTTAACCCTGCCCTTGTGACAAAAATCATATGTCAGCCAAAAATGTTCACTTCCATTTTGCTTGTAGTTTAATCTGTCAAGATGCTGAGCATAGTGGATGGACTCAACACTTAAACATATGCTCAGAGTTATTAAGCTTTTTGTTGCATTGAGTAGAAGTGCTCAGCATCTTTCCCAGTTATGCTGCTTGCATCTTCAAACCAATTATTTGTACAATTAAGGATTTTTGTAATCATGGCCCTGTTTTTGAAGATATGCTATATCTGCAACTAGTTATTTTCTAAGGGATATGTATGCATGGTTCAGTGTCTCAGGTTGGTGTCCCTGGCAGTTTTCATGGACTGTGCTCCTAGTGAACAGCCCCTTCTCCCCCCACTGCAATTTTTTAAATTTTTTTTGTTCCTCATCTTTAGTCAGAAGATTTTAAAATATTCTGCAGTAAGGGAAGCTATAAGAACAAACCATCTTTTTTCATACTGCTAACCTCTTCTTTTGTCATCGCTGTCCTTTCACTCTTGGGCTGGTTGACAGTTAGACGTCTGTGTATTGGTGGCTGATAGAGTGTTTAGCCAGTGGCAGGAGTTTGCCAGTGAGCAGTGGTGAACCGTTTCCACACATGCAGTTTATCTATTCATGACTTTGTTGATTATGTTTTTTGTGTAGATCCCAGGGTGGCCAGAATTTGCGAGCAAGCGGTTCAGTGAAGAACAGACTATTCTGGCTTTTGTTGAAACCCTTTTTTTTTATGGATGGAGAAGGTAGTGGCAGATGTTATCACATTTCACGCTCGTGTCTCTACAAGCACAGTTGTAAGGCTGTTCTGGTGTAACAAGCACTTAGGCGAGTAATGGATGAGTACGCACATTAAGTGGGACTGAATGAAGACTGTGTTTCTCTACACAAGTAGTTGCTGACTGATGGCTGTGTAGTGTGCTTGTCTTAACTTCATTGTGGGCTCTCTGGTGCGTCCGCTCTCAGCAGCAGTTGTTGGTTTTGGGCTCTCTTCATGGTTGAACGGCACCATGTTCCTGTGTCAGAATAATATCCCAAATAAGGATGTCATTTGTGCCCTTTATTTAAATCCAGCTCTGGTTTTCCATCCCATTTATTCGAAGTGTGTTATTCCTCGGATGGAGACCTCTTCCAGTCTCTGGCATTGGCACAAGCCACTAAACTCCCAGCTCGAAGGAGTCATCTCTCCAAATGTTCCACCTGCTCTTATAGCAGAAAAGCTGTACCCGCCTCTTACAAACACAAACATAGGGGAGGACAAAATAAATGGCCAGGAAGCAAACTGTCCTGACTGAGACAACCCAGAATATAGCTGTCAAGAGTCAGGTCATGGGAACTGGTGGGACTCTAGAGACCAGTGGTGGAAAGCCAAGCACAGGAGGGACAGAGCAGCTGCTTAGGCTACCAGAAAAAGGAGATGCTTTTCAGGCACTGTGGCAAAGAGATGTCAGGCAGAGGGGAATTGAAAGCTTGGAGGAGAGAGGATGGGAGAGGGGCACATGTGCTATGAAACAGGCCAAAAGATGAAGCAAGGTCAGGCATGATGGGACTGGGGCGGAGCTGAGGCTCAAGGATGGGAAAGACGCAGTGGTCAGATGTGGTTTCAGAAAGCAAGAGAGTGCAAGTATGAGTGGGTGGGAGGGGTGAGTTTAGGGATGGAGAGCAGGACGGGAGATGGTGTTAGCTGAGGTCTTGGGTAGATTAGAGGTGAGGGGAGAGGGGAGACACAGGGAAGCTGGAGAGAAACAGAGTTTCAGTGACGAAGGTAAGAGAACATGAAAAGCATGATACCGGCATGGACTGCAAGAGGCATGACTATCCCTGGAATGAAAGCACCTTCACCTTTAAGCAGGGCTGTCCGTGGTGCCTTCAGAGAGAGGGGTCCACTCCTCGTCCCTCAGCAGAGCAGACTGCCTTGTCACCGGCCCAAGGGAGCCCTCTCCCCGCCTGGCTTTACTTGCAGGGCCTTGTGCCAGCCCTATCGCTGGGACAGATTCAGGACTCCTTCCTCCAATTCTGGCACTAGAGGAGCATGGACTGGCGGTGGGCTGCTTACAGATCGTATGTTCAACCTTCCTTAAAAAGTGGATTCTCCTGCCCAGCCCAGGTCTGGGTTAGGCAGTACCTGATGTATCCAAGGATTATAACCTAAAATTGATCTTGGGTCTACAGGCTCTCACTTATCCACCATAAACAGTGTGACTGCTTGAAAGGTGGGTGGCAGGCATGACCTGTGACAGCTCCTTTCCCTTTTTGCAGGTCCAGCTAGCCGAAATGGAAGCATTATCCCTCAACTCAGACAAGTCCTCTTCCGTCCTTCTAGGAGACGAGTCAGACAATCACAGCACTTCTCAGCTGAGTCCTAAGGAGATCAAGGTTAGCCCCAGGTGGTCGTGGGCATGTTGCACCATGTGCTGTATTTCTGCCCCTGCTCATTTGAAGTGTTCTGTATTCATCCGAGTGTCCCTGCTGAGGAATATAGATTCAGGTCACTTTTCAAGAGCTTCTCCATAGAGACATATCGTGGAGAAGGATTTGAGGAGAAAAAAAGGGATGTAAGTAGTGAAGAGAACTTTCCAAAACAGTCCGTAACTTCCTCTGAATGAGCTTAAATTTAGGGGATTTGGGCTGGAAACCTGAGCGTCTCTTAGCTAGCTTGAAGGTATCTTCAGAATCAGCCCTTCTTGAGGCTTTCACAAGTCTGCTCTTTCATCTGCCATTACATTTCACAAGGCTTTGTCCTCATTTTTTTCCAGCAGGATGGCCAGGACAGCCCTGACTCCAATGGGGTAGGCGATCTGGGGGAATGCCTGCTCCCAATATCCAGTGCGGATGGCTCTACAAACCCGGACAGTTACCTGTGTGAAATAGAGAAGACTCCTTTCAACTCAGTCCAGTCTTGGCTAAAGCATGAAAGTACCAAAGGTGAGCACAGCTTTCATCATTCTCCAGGTCTGCTGAAAGTGTGGGTTGGTTCGGCTTATCTGCCTTTCCCCGGCCTCCTCCCTGCCAGGAATGGAGTTAATGTGACGTGGGGTTACACTAACTAAGAATTAGCTTTCAGGTTGCCAGTCATCAGGAATGGGGTGAGGAGCAGTTTCTTCTTTTGCTGCTAGATTTTATATCCTCCCTCAGACCTGCCTATGTGAAGTACCATGAAAGAGCTGATTCTTGTTCACAGTAGTGCACCCATGCACGGTCAGAGAAGAGTGGGGACAGACTCCCCTGACGTGCCAGCTGGATGAACTGTGCTCACTTGGCACGGTAAAACGTTGCTGCCCCCAAGACCAGGCTACTCAGGTACCGGTTCAGGGAATACGTAACACATGTCTGCCCTTGGTGGAAGTGCTCCAGCACCACTCTTGACCATGCTCTGGCTTCCTGTGGTCCCCTGGTTTCCCAAACCACCAGTTTATTTACCTCCCTTCATCCCTTGCCTTGCAGGATCTGGGATGAAAGTCCTCTGGCAGTGATACATAGTTGAATCAAGGCCTCACAGCTCAATATTTTTCTGCAAGAGCAACTACAGGAGAGGCGAGCTGGGCTGTTGCTTTATGGCTCTGAGCTGTGTTAGATCTCCTGGGTCTGGTGCAGGTTTTGGTCCTTGAGTAGAAAGTGGGACCCATGGTGTGAACACTAGACTGAGGCTTCTTGGCCAGGAGTGTGTGTTACTAAATATCCTCTGTACGCTGGACTTGCAGGACCCTCTGTGTAACAGCAGCAAAGGCACCAAACCAAATTGGAGGACTCTTCAACTTTCTTTTTTTTTTTTTCTGTTTCTGTTCTCCTCCCCATTTCTTTTGGTGCTTTGTCAGTCCCTCCCAGCCCCTTCTCTCCAGGTGCATCTTGCCCTCTGTTACCTGTACCAGCAGAATTTTTCCACCCAGCCATCTCTGCCACCCAGACAGGGCCTGAGAAAGTCTCATGTCCACGCAACCTTCCTAAGATCTCTCTGCAAGGCTCATGGGCATCACTGAGATCGCCGAGTGTGAACTGTTCACTTCTTCATCAGGTGAGGATCCCCGCTTCCCCCTGCTAGGAAAGCTTGATCACATCGCATACAAACAGAGGGGGCTGAATGGGGAGGAGGGCAGAAGAAGGAGAGAGGCAGCTGTGGTCATGGCTGGGTGACCTGGACCTAACCTGCTGGAGGAGCACGGTGCACTGCAGAGTGCGGGAGTGTTGGGGAGGAGAGAGGGTTGTATAGCAAAGGGCTCTTGTATAGCTCTCAGTCCTTGAAATCATATCTTCTGCTTTGCATCAAAAAATAGTTTGGCAGCTGCAGCTAGCCCCACACGAAGACAAAATCACGCCACCTTTTAGCTCACCCCGGGGTCCCCTGCACCGAGCGCGCTGCAGACACCTGCCTGCACAGCAGCTGCAGCCTCCTCAGCTCCTCTTCGTGCCGCGACTCCAGATCATGCGCTTTCTTGGTTGGAACCGGCTTCTCCCAACCTACCTCCTCCATAGCCCTTCATGCCACATCCACACACCGCATCTCAGAGTTTGCTGTCTTCCCCTGCCCACTTAGTTCTTACATCCCAGAAAGGTGCTGTCTCTTTCTGAAGAGGCAGCTATTTCTCACTAATGAAAGAGAAGAATAAAAGTGTTGAGGGAAGATCAAGTGTCTCTGAAGAGCAGAGGAGGCAGAGATGAAAGTCCAATAGAGATCCCTCTTATTGTTCTTGGAAGATACTCCATGAACAATTCCTGTTTGAGGAGTACAGGGACACTCTATTCCAGACAAACTGAAAAATAAAAATAGAATCATATGTCATCCAGTTCTATGTGACAGACACTGTTGGCACAATACAAATGTGTATAAATTCACCAAGGATAAATTTAGCCTTGAGCTGAGACCACTGAGTTGTTGCGGTGTTGAAACTTCTGGTATAAGTTTAGACATGAAGAAAAAGAGGTCTGGAGCCGGTGTACCACTGGGGCAAAACTACTGAACTGTTTTAAAGCTGAAATTGGTAAAGTTCTGATTATGTCATGCAGACTGTATGGAATAGCCATGGTTCAGGAGACTGCTTCCAGTCCTATGTGCATCATTCCCAGTGCTGTGTCCCAGTGACAATCTCATAGTGCAGCCCAATTTCCCAGGAACAACTGAAATGCAGCTTAACTGAGCCCTCATACAAGGAAATTAAGGCTGTTTCCCCTTCCTGCTGGAAGGGGACCCCACCTTTCTGCCCTAAATACCATCATTGTCACTAGTGCTCGTCAGAAGAGCCATGAGGCCTCTTCTCTCTCCCCAAATACTGCTGATTTTTTAATGAGGAGGTATATGTACAGAGCCTAAGGCCAGTGTACAGAAGTCCCCTGATTTCTGGCCAGCTGATGGTTTCGATATGTCTGCAGCCTGTGTGACAGGTTTACAGGGAAGCCAAGAGTGAGGTCCCACAGGGATCCTCAGCTCCGCTGGCTCCTGGACCACCCGTGGTCAGGGACAGCCCAGCGGCGGGGACTGCAGAGCTCACAAACCCAGTACCCCTTCCCTTTGGTGGAGCATTTCACGTGGGAGGGGAAAATTCATTCTGGAGCAGAATGAAGTCAGAGCTCAAAATACTGAACCCTCTCCTCCTCTCCCAGATGGGAATCCCCTGGGCAAGCTGGATGGCTGGTGCTTTGTAGCATTGCTCAGGCGGTTTAGAGCTGCCCTCCCCAGCGGAGGAGTGCGGGAAAGGAATTGGAGTTTTTCCCCCTTTTTTTGTAATTGTGGTTTATTTTCACACTCCAAAGTACTCAAAAAAAAAAAAAAAAGAAAAAGAAAAAAGGCAAAGCGTGTTGCCCCCTGCCCATCTCTTCCCCCCTGCGCCCATCTCCTTCCTGCAAACCGTGTTTCCACGCTCCTGCTCCCCAGGCACCGGAGAGCGATACCTCGCTGGATAGCCGGAGCAGCAGCTCGGCGGGCAGCCTGCAGACCACGCTGGAGGACAGCCTCAACCTCAGCGACTCTCCCCAGTGCGCCCTGGACCTCCCGGTGGCTCTGTGCCCCGTGCCGGCTGCCGGCAGCCAAAGACCCCTGGCAGCCCCCCTCTCGCCCGCCTCCCGCCGCCGGAGCCTGCGGGGCCGGGGGCTCTTCAGCCTGCGGAGCATCTGTCGTCACCAGCGCAGCCACAGCAGCGGCGGGAGCACCAGCCCCGGCTGCACCCACCACGACTCCATGGACCCCTCGGACGAGGAGGGGGCCGGTAGCAGCCTGCGGGGGGGTGGCAACAACAGCGAGCCCTCGGAGACCCTCAGCAGCCTCTCGCTGACCTCCCTCTTCTCCCCTCCGCCGCCGGGGCTGACGCTGGTGAAGAAGTGCAGCAGCACCAGCAGCCTCCACGCCAGCCCCTCACCCCGCCGTCCCACCACCCACCGTGCCAAGCCCTTCTACACCGTTGACCCCCGGGGCTTCCTCTCGATGCCTTCTTGGGTGACGGACTTCTGCAAGGACACCCCCTCGCCTGGGGATGGAAAGGAGCCGGATGGCCCCGGTGGACGGGGGACGGGGGACCGCGGCTCCCCACTCCCGTCCGAGCTGGAGCTGGGTGACGGAGTCAGCAAGAGGAACAGATGAGGGTCCCTGGGGCGCAGGGAAGGGAGCGTTTGGCCGCCGGCACGGGGAGCATGTTTCGCTAGCTTCTCCCCAGCAGCAATTCCAAAGGATTTGCAAGAAAAAGAACCAGGCAAACAAAAATTTATAAATATATATATATACATAAATATATATATATATAGAATAAATACTCTGGTACCGTACCTCAGAGGCGTGGGAGAGTGCAAGCAATACGGGAACAGTCCTGCCCGAGGGCAAGACCTGGACCATCACCGCAGAGACTATAGTGACAAGAAAAGGCCATGGGGCTGGGAGGGACGGGACCCTCCAGCCAGGTGACTGCCACGCGGCAGCTGTTTAGTTATATACATATACATATATAGAGAGATCGATTTATTTATTTTTTTTACCGAGAGATTACGAATTTCGGAAAGTGCTAAGGAGGAGCAAGCAAAGGGGGGCTGAAGGAGGTGCTACGCCAAACGAGGGTGGGGGCGAAGGGAAGCAGGGGGAGCAGCAAGGGACGAGTGTCTGGGGTTTGCCTTGCCTGTTTCTGGGAACTAACTTATTGTCCATGCTTCCATTTCAAACATTAAAAATTGCAGGCCAGATCTTCAGGTTGAGCGTAAATTGGCAAAACGCGATTGTGCGCTTCTGCTGGTGTAAAGCAGCAAAGCTCTGGCTTGAGGTGGATTCATGCTGATTTACAGCAGGTGAAAATCTGGCCCCGGCAGCAGGGAAAAGCAAACAGCCATGGAGCACGGGAAGCATTTTGAGGTGAAAAGCCTTGCTTTGAAGGGAATGTGTGAACACAGCGGGCGTGCTCATGGGAGGAGGGGATGGAGGCTACATGGCATATTTTTGTTGTTGTTGTGTTGGGTTTGTCTTTTTCATTTTCCAAAGAAAGAAAACTGCTAAGGGAAAAAAGAATTACAAGATAGGCGGGGAAATTTGGAGTGGGAGTGGCAGGGTGGAAGGGGAGGAGGAGGTAAAAAGGGGAGAGGAAATGAACTTTTCCCCCTTTCATTTGCAGTAATTGTGATATTTTATTTTAGAAGCCCAAAGGTGCAAAAATCATCTCTAGAGAAACCTATCTGTTATTTTTGTATCTATAGCTATATATATTAAAGAAGACAAAAACTAGAATTTTAAAAAAGACAAATAAAAGCAAAGGGGGGCTTCAACAACACACAATGTAGTCAGTCCCCTGGCCGAGGGCTAACCCTCTTCCAAGTCCCACCGGGAAGACCCTACAAGAACATCCTCAGCACGGTGGCGGCTCTGCCTCCTCTCCAGCATCACCTTCATCCTCTGGCGTTTTCCTGATTTGCATCAACGTAGCTGGGACCAGAGTCCTGCTCAGTGCCAACCGCGGACATGGAGAGCAGGGAATATTGGCGCGTGTGTGTATGTGTGTGTGTGCACGCAAATGTAAGGATGTTTATGTGTGTTGTGTCCAGGTGACCCGGCTCATCAGCTGGAGAGAAGGGGAGAGGGAGAACTGCAGCTCTCCTTGCCAAAGGAGGGTGAGTGGGGAGGGCTGCGGTGTGGAGGGTGAGGGCAGACCGACTCCTTGAACCATGACCTGCCTCAGGATCCAGGATTTGCTCCGGCAGACGTGATCCTCTCCCGGCAGGGTTGCAGCAAGGCCTCCTGGAGGCTGCATCCTTGCCTTTCCAGCAATATGACTGCACGTGTCTCCTTCCTTGGCCAGCACCAGCCTGGATCTCCTCCTGCAGCGACTCCAAGATTTCGTACCCTTCCCAGGTTTGCAGGTGGGTAGGAAAGCCAGCCACCCGGGGCGGGGGGGGCACAAAGAATTTCGGATGTCACCTACCACCCCAGGGAAGCTCCGCTAAGGTGTGTTAGAGAAGACAGAGTGAGAAGGGCAGCGGGGGGAGGATAGCAGCCCAATGGAGATGGGGAGGTTTGGAGGCTGGTGCACTGCTCAGAGGAGGAGCAGGGCTCCCTTGGGGATTCCTGTCCCATTTTTGCCATCAGCTCAAGAGGGCCCCTACAGCCCTCCCAGAGCCTTCCCAGCTGGCATATGAAGCATTGTGAAGTGGGCAGTAAAAAGAGAGACGTTCTGGTTTTATTGTGACCTGTCTGATTTTGAAGCAGCTGCTGCATCTTATGAACTGGGGCTGTGAAAAGCAAGAGCATCAAATGGGACCAACAGCCAGGAAAAGGATAATTACTGTGTTGACTTGATTTATTTCCTGGAAGGAGCGTTTGCTGTGTTGCAAGCATGCTGACTGCAGGGAGGTCAGACCTGTTGAAGACATGAGGGCCCAGGTCCTTGTCCTTGCAGAAAGGATGCCAATCCAGATCTATTAAAGCAATAATAAGGGTCTTTAAATGCTATGTTTGCACTGGTGGTTCTTTGGGTGAGTTGCCCCTGCCTGCTCTCCCATGGGCAGAGAGGAGAGACGAGACGCATGGTTTCATGTCCTCGGGGAAGGAGGGCAGTCCGTCCCCAAATGGCTGAACAATGAACTTGGGCTGCACAAGGCTTAGCCTCAAACCCAGAGCTGCTTTGAAGCCAGAGGTAAGGCTTGCCAAAAAATCCCAAACAGTTAAAACCCATCCAAACCCCAGGCGACAAAATGCACAGAGTGGTTCCTGTAAGGTGGTGGGACTCTGAGCTGTCCTGGCAGTTGCGTGGGCTGTGAAACATTTCAGCTAAGCAATGGGAGAAAGGCCAGAGATCGGTGCAGTGCTAGAAGCTACCCCGATATTCAGTCACGATAGAAGTATGGCCTGCACTTGGGAGGAAAGAAGGGTCAAAAGATGGTGGGAAAGATGGTGGCGGTGACCTTACAGCCTCCAGGATGGATGCTCTCTCAGCTTATTCTTGGTTCTCCCTGGAAGTGACTTGCAAGGAAAAACTTTGTTTCTCTTGTGCTTTGGGGTTCGCGACAGTCCTTTTGCTCTGCACAATGCCTCCCCTTTGCCTCCCAGCGGGGTCATGCCACCGCTCCCACCTCCCTGCAAAAGGGCTTTATGACTCGAGCAAAAGGCTTCTGGCTTAGGAAAGAGGTTGCCATGGAAACAGAAGACTAGGTTATCTTTAGAGAATATTTTGTCTCTCTCTTTTAATTATTTACTAACTGTTTGAAGAAGAAGGAGGAAACATCCATCCTTCCTAAAGAGGAAGCAGAATATTCTAAACCCAGCAAACGCCTTGTGTTTTTGCTGGGGATTTCTGTGGCAGGGCAGGTTGTGCGGTTTCTCCTGGCAAGAGCTGCCTTTCCCAGCTATGCCTGGCTGTTGGCACCAGGAAAACACCTCTGTCATCACCCACCCACCTCCCAGACAACACCTGAGGGCAGCCCAGGATTTGCCCAGGCGTCTTTTCAGCCTCCCGTACTCCCCACTTCCCACGGGGGACTCTATCGCAGGCAGCTCCTGCCAGGAGGCTCTTTGCCATTGTCAGCCCGACATCGCTCTGTCTTGTCCCGCTGCCACGTTACCCTCGTGCCCGTTTCTCCCCCGCGTCTGCCACCGAAAGCTGTCCCTCTCCCCGCACGATGCTGAGCTCCTCCGTGTGCTCGCGCACCACTACCACGTCCTGCTCCAGCTGCTGCTCCACCAAGCCGGTCGTATTTTGTTCTTTTCATCCTGGCTTGCCAGCTGGTTCCTCCACCTCTTTTCAATGTTTTTATGAGTCTTTTTTTCTAAGCCCTCCCTGTATTTTTCTCCCTCTCGCCACAGCCTCTGGGCCCGTCGGTGTGGTGTATTGCAGCTGCAGAGCAGAGCCCATCCCTAGTGCTTCCCGTCTTCTCTTGCACACGAAATCCTCAACCACTCCAACCTGCCCATGGACAACGCACTGCATTTAGTATTTCTTCTGTGCCCAGAGACCCTGTCTCAGCACTGCTAAATGAAGAAAGTGTACTGACAGGCATACTTCTTCTTGTGGCTTCTCCATCTTCGTCTGTCTTCCTTACTACTACCAAAAGTTTCCTGGTGAAATTAGATATATGGGAAGTAATTGCCAGCGTGACCACTGTTTTCTTTCATGGCAAGTTGGCAGTGTGGTGCATTTGAGGGTTTTTGGGGGGGTTTGTGAGGCCAGGTCCTGTGAAGGACTGAACACCACCAGCTTTCCATGAAATTAATATGAGTTGAACAGGCCTGGGGGGTGGAGTTGAAAGTGTCATAGAGCAGGAAAATTATTTTTCAGAAAAGAAATGTAAAGTAGAAAACGTAGATGCCTTCAAGGAATTTTCTACTTTTCCTTTTTGCTGAGAACAAAATGATTCCTACCAAAATAGCTCTTGTCCAAAATGCTCCCACGGGGCATCACAGAGGTTTTGTGTCCTGAGTGGCCCCTGGTGACCATCTCCTCAAGACACCAGACCACTTGTCCACCCCACGGGGCCCTGAAGATGGGTCCCCAGGCAGTGAGGTGTCCGCAAGGCGCTGCAGGAGATGTGCCCTGCACACCCACTGTGCAACGAGAGCAAAAGGCGTCATAGCAGCAGCTCAGGAGCAGAGATTTGATTTTTAGCCAGTGTAACCAAAACCTCAAAATTTATTATTGAAGATGTGGAGGTAAGCGGCTTTGGTTTGCTTGTTCTCATCACGAGAACTTCACAGAGAAGAGAAAAATCAAACCCCGCTGATTTTCTGACTAGCTGCGATACAAAACACACAGTGCACCTTGTAGGAAGTGCTTGGTGCTTTGCAAAGTCAGGCCCTTGGATGTATGCCACCCCGTTCAGTCTATCTGCATGTGATCTGGTTTTCCAAATATTCCCTTCTTGGTCTTCATGAATACTTCATCTTATGAGATCTGCCTTACTTCTCAGTTTTTTCCATGTTATTTTTGTTCCTTGCTAGGGACTGGCTTCCAGTAGGAACTCAGTATCTCAGCATCCTTGAATTACCATTCATTTCTTCCATCTCATTTAGACATACGTGTTTCTTCTCTAGCACTTTTTCCTTCTTCTGCATATTTCTAAGTCCCCTGTTTATTTCTACTAAGATCCTGTCACACTTTGAGCGGGAGCTGGCAA